TATCTCCTTATATTTTCTTTGCCGATGGAGCCATATACCTTTATGACTTGAGACCCACATGACACAAAAGTTAACTGAATGTTCAATAGCATCCCTGGATACACGCATGCATCAAAGAACTGAAAGCTCTTGGATGAACCCAGTGCTTGACAATTGCTTAGAACAATTGAAAGGGACACAACACTTAGTGGCGCCTTTGATTTGTACTCACCAAATTTAAACATCAAACAGGTTAGCGTTGTTTGTGCTGGGTCACAGGCACAGACTTGCTTTCGCATTTGCTTCTATTATAACAAAATTCACTTTCATATTTATTTAATCTGGTCACTCAATCCACGACTGTTTTTGAGGGCACCACTGTGTGCAATTGGCTGCTGCATTTCGCCCACAAAAATATACAGTCAATTTATTTTATAGTATATTCTGTGAAGCGCTTTGAGATGTCTTGAAGACTTGATAATAATAATAAATAATAATACTCGATAAGGCACTTCATGAAATGCAAGGATTGTTATTATTATTTTTAGCCGACTGCACCTTGCACTGCGCTCGAGACTTTTACTGTGAGACACCATATAACAACAATAACAATCCTTACATTTGACATATCGCCTGAACACAATTTTGAGACGCCTGAAAGCGCTTCACAGAATATATTGTAAACTGGGGGATCTGTTCAGCTGCCTCGAGCTCTGCTCTCCCAACCGCCACTCCCTCCCCATCCCCCCCACACTCCGACCCCTACCCATCCCTCCCTTCACATTTTTGAACCTGTCTCCCCCTCCTCTCTCATCACTACCAGATCCAGCATGGAACACACTACCTGCATTCCCAGAAGAAATTGGTCCCAACAACAACAAATTATATTTGTATAGCACCTTGCACATCGGGGGGACATCCCAAAGCGCTGAACAGTCAGAGATTTGGAACCGAACAGGCGGTTGGGATCAAGAGGTGCAGAGAGGGTACAGGAGTGTGAACAAAGATGACGGTGGTCGAAGATGAGGGTCTTGAGACGTGCCTTGAAGGAGGTAAGGGAGGGAGCCCCCGAAAAAGCGATCCGTCAATCGACTAACAACCGGGTTTCTACTTACTGCTAGGTTAACAGAGGCGTGTGGAGTAAGGAGATTTGCCCAACATTTCACCCTGAAAATTGTTGTGGTTCACTCCTTTGATTTGAGTTACAACCTTAGAAAGAAGAAAATTGTCCATGAGCCTCCATCCAGTGGTCTAATTGAGAACTGTCTGAACTTTGCTGAACAAATTGGCTGCAGTGTGTTGATGGACAGACAGATCTGCGACTTGATGCTTACTTGAAGGGCAAGCTACTAGGTCATCTGAGGTGGTTGTCAATGTGAAAATGCACCAAACTGTATAAAGTACAGGAAATGGAACCTAAGTTATATTTTTCTCCTTTGGCTTCTGCTTTCCTTCTCTACAGGGTTTGTAATTTTAGAAGGGTTTGTAATTTTCACTATTGGTGAGAGCTTCCCCATTAGGGCTCAGGACAAATTATTTTGATTTAACTACTTGGGTAAACTAATGTATGGATTTGGGAATGTGGGATCAGAGGAACCAAAACCACTTGTATTCCATGCTTAACTAAAGGTTTGTGTAAGAACCAATGATGTAAGCATAGGGTAGGCCTCGGCGCCTGCAGAGCGTGCCATTTATTAGGAGATGGTTTGAGGCATAGGACCTGAAATGTTGTCGTCTCAAGATTGCTCCTTGTCCCACATGCCAGTCAGCATACTAACAAGAAGGTTTGGAAGGTAAATGTGTGACTGGGGGTGGGGTGGGGTGGGGTAGTGGATGGGAGTTGGGTGGGGCAATAGGAATGCTCTGGGAATGGGTTCTTACTCACGCAGTAAACTTACACAGTGAGGTTTGGTTTTGTCACAATTGAAACCTTGTGATTTTGTTTAAATGATTGATTGATATTTAAATGTTGAAGTTAGCTTTCCTGCTGATTTAAGTAGTAATGAAAGGGATTACTTATAGAGTTTCAGTGAAATTAATAATCAGATTCAAATCATGTTATAACCTGTCATGATGTGCCTCCAGCTTAATGGCAATAACACATCTAGGGAGGGGATGAGGTGGGACGCAGCACAGAATATTGTACTTGGCAAGTTTCAAAAAAAACAGCAAAAGTAAAATATGTTGAATCAAGTCATTTTGAAGGGCAATTTCTATAGATTGATTCACTGAAGCTGATATATTTGTTTGGTTGCAGTACTGTGGGTATGGTTTGGTTGGTTACTACAACTGCTGTGCTTTCATTGTGGAACACGTTATATTGTCAGCACAAATGTATGTTTCACTGTTTATTTTGCCCTCAACGCATTCCTCTCCTCCTGAAGGTGCTGACTCCTGCCATTGTACTGTTCCAAGGGCAACAGTACTTTGATCAAGTGGTCATTTTTACTTTGGGGCATTATTTTCACCTGTAGAGCCAATTGCTGCATGCTAGCCTGGTTCAGTTAGTAGCTCAGTCAGTTGGGAGGTACCTTCCTTCAGTCAGTTAAACGTGAAGCTTGAACCCACCACCTTCTGACTTAGAGGCAGGAGTGCTAATAACTGAGCTGGGCAATTTAGTACTTTGTAGCCAGAGGCATTACACAACTTCTGGCGATAGGTTTTGGGACCTTACCAATGTCTCAATGGCACCTCTGACAATTCAATCTGCAGTGGAGTGTCACCTTAAGACTATGAATCAATAAAGTCTTGACATGAGGCTTGGACTCGCAATCTGCTGACTCGAGAGGCAAGAGTGTTACTGACTGAGCCAGTTGACACCTATGCACCAAGACAGTAGAAAAGCAGGATAATGTTGTGCCCACCTCCGTCTGTAGCTTACCCCAAATGCAGCCGAAACCCTAGTGCATACGTTTGTCACCTCCCGCCCGGATTATTCAAACGTACTCCTCACCGGTCTCCCCAGCTCCACTGCAAAAAAAATCCAGCTCCTTCAGAGCTCTGCCGCCCGGATACTGACCGAGACCCAACTATCTTTGAAACATCCTCTCTCTTTTCGATTGATGCCGAAGAATCTTTTAATGTTTGCCTGGACAGGCAGAACAGGAACTCGATTTAAAAATCTCATTTGAAGGAAGGTACCTCCAACAGTGCCACGGAGCCCTGGCGCTGCATTGTGTGCGTCAGCTTAAGACTATGTGAGTTCAAAGTCCTGACTTAGGTTTTGACCTCCCAAACATCTATCTGACTTAAGAGGCGAGCGTACTACCAAATCAGGCTGTTGCAGAAAGCCGTAGATATATTTCAAAAATTAATACGAAGGTACTAGGCACAGGTTGCCAAGATTTTGGGGATCCCAGAGTGCGTGTTGGGGTACCCTGGAGACCAACCATCCGGAAACCACACAGCTTGCTATGGATATTGCTGTCTGACAAGCTTCCCCGCTGCCTGTCCAGCTGGGACCGCCGCGCTACACGTCAGGGCTTTGGCTTGCAGGGTTAACAGGAGCTGAGTGGGGATGCGCACGGCAAACACAGCACACACACCACACAGTGTGCGCACACACACAGCGCACACACATTACACACACCAAGCACACACACGCACACAGCACACACACCACACAGCGTGCGCACACAGCACAGCGCACACAGCATACACACACAGCACACACCACAGTGTGCGCACACACACAGCACACTACACACACCAAACACACACACGCACACAGCACACACACCACACAGCGTGCGCACACAGCACAGCGCACACAGCACAGCGCACACAGCATACACACACAGCACACACCACAGCGTGCGCACACACACAGCACACTACACACACCAAACACACACAGCATGCACACACTGCACACACATCACACAGTGTGCGCACACACTCACAGCGCACACACTACACAGCGCGCGCACACACACAGCACACGCACAGCGCACACACACTGCACACATACCACACAGCGTGCGCACCCACACACAGCGCACACACCACACAGCGCGCGCACACACACACGCACAGCGCACACAGCATACACACACAGAACACACACCACACAGCGTGTGCACACAGCGCACACACTACACAGTGCGCACACAGCGCACACACACACAGACACAGCGCACACACAGCACACACCACACAGCGCACACTACATAGCGCGCACACAGCGCACACACACACACACAGCGCACACACAGCGCACACACAGTGCACAGAGCCCTCTGACAACTCATACTGTGTGCCCACACCTCAGTGTGTGGGGGAGAGGGGGTTTCTCGGGAGTTATGGAGTTCACTTCCCTTTTTTTTAAAAAAAACAGCTCAGTCCGACCCCATCACTGCCGACAGCAGCTCCGCACTGATCAGATTCACTGCCGAGAGAGAAAAACACTGCGCGGATGTAGTGGTGAACCGGAAGCGGCGCCTCCAGTTCCGCGGGACCTCAGTCAGTCAGTCAGTCAGTCACACACAGAGGGTCACACACACACACACAGAGGGTCACACACACACACACAGAGGGTCACACACACACAGACACACACACAGAGGGTCACACACACACAGACAGACAGAGGGTCACAGACAGACACACACAGAGGGTCACACACAGACAGACACACACACAGAGGGTCACACACACAGACACACACACAGAGGGTCACACAGACACACACACACACAGAGGGTCACACACACAGACAGAGGGTCACACACACACACACAGACACACAGAGGGTCACACACACAGAGGGTCACACACACAGACACACAGACAGACACACAGACAGAGGGTCACACACACAGACACACACACAGACAGACACACAGAGGGTCACACAGACGCGGGGACAGAGGAGAGGGACAGAGGGGCGGCGGCGGTTACATTGTAGCCATCGGGGACTTCAGCCCAACTCTGTGTTACTCACTCACTCACACACCCACTCACTCTCACACCCACTCACTCACTCTCACACCCACTCACTTATTCACTCACACACCCACTCACTCTCACTCCCACTCACTTACCCACCACACACCCACCCACTCACTCTCACAAGTGATCAGAGGCTTCAGCACAGCTGAGTGTCACTCACTCACTCACTCACTCACTCACTCACAACCAGTGTTACATTATGGCTGTCCAAATGGTCGGTGGCATGGGCACCGAGGCCATGTCCGCTACGGAGGAGGTGCAGCAGATCGCCGATTCCGTGAGTATAATTATTCTCAGAAAAATTACGCTTTCCAAGTGGAATCTTTTTCGCCTCAGACACAATCTCCATTTGTGTCTTCGGCGAAAAAAATCTACGCGTTGTCGATCATAGCATTGCGTCTTCCTGGTACAGACTCCTCCACAGAATGAACTCCGTCCCCCAGTGCCTTCGCCGCCTCCTCCCTTTCCTCCTTCAAGGCCGGTCTCAATACCTTTCTCTTCGACCGTGCCTTCAGCTCCTCTCTCGACTCTCTACCCCCTCCTCGCTCCTTCCCTCCCTCACCCTGACCATTTCCCCCCTCCTCGCTCCCTCCCTCCCCTCCCCTCACCCTGACCATTTCCCCCCAATGCTCGGGTCCTGACCCAACTGTCCAGCGCCTTGGGACGTCCTCCCGACGTGAAAGGCGCTCTATAAATGGAATCTTGTTGTTGTTGTTGTTGTTGAAGTGCAGATGATGTCCTAAACTGCTTTGTTGTTTACAACAACAACTTGCGTCTATAAGACGCCCTTCACGCGGGGCAGCGTATCGGAGTGCTTAACACTGGTGGAACTCTTTACAAAAAATTACATTTGTGTCCTGGACGATCGGTGTTTCGGGCGAAGGTCTACAAAGAATGGTACAGCGTGGAAACGGGCCTTTTGGCCCGAAACAGATTGTGCTGGTTTTTATTGAGTTTCCACCTACTTCCTCCCATTCCTTCTCCGTCTTGTGAAAGTTTAACTTTCTCTTGAGCACATCTGGACTATATGATTCAACTGCCACCACAACAACAAAATTACATTTGGAGAGCGGCTTTCACGTCGGGAGGACGTACGAAAGCGTTGGAATAGTCAGGTGTCGGGGCCCGAGCATGGGAGAGGGGTGTGGTAGGGGTGAGGGAAGGCAGAGAGGTGGGAGGGCGACCAGAGGCATGATCGAAGAGAAGGGTCTAGAGACCAGCCTTGAAAGAGGCGAGGGAGGAAGCGAGGTGAAGGGACTGTGGGATGGAGTTCCAGAGGCTTCTGGCAGTGAGTTCCGCATTCTCGCTACGCTCTGTGTAAAGGAGTTCCTGCTAAACTGTCTTTTGAATCCCCACTGTGCTATCTTACACTTATGTCACCTGATTATGGACTCCGCCTATTTATGCTAACCTTACTGCAACCTTTTACCATTTTAAACATCTCTATCAGGTCCGCACTTAAATATCCCTTCTCTAGTTTGTGTATCAATCTGGCTCAGTGGTAGCACTCTCGTATCTGAGTCAGACGATTGTGGGACTTGGACCCACGTAGTCTACAACAACAACAACAACTTGGATTTATATAGTGCCCTCCACGCCGGACAGTGTCTCAGAGCGCTTCACAGTAACGGATCCCGGGGCTGAGCCAGGGGGAGGGGGAGGAAGGTGACCAAAAGCGCGGTCGAAAAGAAAGGTCTTCAGCAGAGACCTGAAAATGGGAAGGGAGGGAGCGAGATGAAGGGACTGTGGGATGGAGTTCCAGAGGCTTCTGGCAGTGAGTTCCGCATTCTCGCTACGCTCTGTGTAAAGGAGTTCCTGCTAAACTGTCTTTTGAATCCCCACTGTGCTATCTTACACTTATGTCACCTGATTATGGACTCCGCCTATTTATGCTAACCTTACTGCAACCTTTTACCATTTTAAACATCTCTATCAGGTCCGCACTTAAATATCCCTTCTCTAGTTTGTGTATCAATCTGGCTCAGTGGTAGCACTCTCGTATCTGAGTCAGACGATTGTGGGACTTGGACCCACGTAGTCTACAACAACAACAACAACTTGGATTTATATAGTGCCCTCCACGCCGGACAGTGTCTCAGAGCGCTTCACAGTAACGGATCCCGGGGCTGAGCCAGGGGGAGGGGGAGGAAGGTGACCAAAAGCGCGGTCGAAAAGAAAGGTCTTCAGCAGAGACCTGAAAATGGGAAGGGAGGGAGCGAGATGAAGGGAGTGAGGAAGGCAGTTCCAGAGCCTCGGGGCATAGTGGCTGAAGGCACGATTGCCGACGGTGGAGCGGAAGACTCGGAGGATGAGGAGGAGGCCAGACCCAGAGGAACGAAGGCAACGGGTATTGTTTTGAGGAGAGAGGAGGTCAGAGAGGTAGGGGGGTGCAGAGGAGTGCAGGGACTTGAATACAAGGGTGAGGATCTTGAAGTCGATCTTCTCTGGGATAGGCAGCCAGTGCAGTCCGGCGAGGACTGGGGTAGTCGGGGAGCGGAGTTTGGTGCGGGTGAGAATGTGGACCGCAGTGTTTTGAATGATTTGGAATTTATGAATGGTAGTGGAGGGGAGACCGGCGAGGAGAGCGTTAGAGTAGTCCAGCTGAGAGGTGACAAGGGCATGGATCAGGGTTTCAGCAGCTTTTAGGGAGAGGTATTGGCAGAGACGGGCAATGCGGTGCTGGTGAGGGACCAGATGTGGGGGAGGAAGGATAATTGGGGGTCGAACCTGGCACCTAAGTTGCATATGGGGAGTTTTAGGGGGAGGTCGGGTAGGTGGAGAAGGTGAGAGCCGTGAGATTTTAGACATTAACAAGAGCAAAAGAGTATGGCTTCCATCTTGTCAACGTTCAGCAGAAGGAAATTTGGGCTTATCCAGCCCCTGAGACCATCTGGGGACCAGGGGTTGCAAAGAGAGGTGGAAAAATAGAGTTGGGTGTCGTCTGCATTCATGTGGAAGTGTTCCCCAATGTCTGCGGATGACATCCCCAAGACAGAGCATATAGATCAGAAAGAGGAGGGGGCCAAGGATGGATCATTGGGGTACCCCGCAGGTGAGCCAATGATACTCCCAGTTTCCCTATGGATCCTTGGGTATAGTTCATCTGGGCCAGATGCCTTGTCCTTTTCAAGCTTGTATAATTTATCTAATATCTCCTCTTGTCCTATCTGAACTGTTGCGATTTTCTACCCTGCCACATTCTTACTAGTCCCCTAAATAATGTAATAAAAACAGGAGTCCCCTCTTCTGATTTTGTTCAGATTTCAGATTTCCAGCATCTGCAGTATTTTGCTTTTTCCCTTAATAATGTCATTGCCTTAATTCTGTTCTTCAGCTGAAGATAGAGATTGAAACAAAGGCTGGAAAACAGTTTTCTGTGTTTGTGGTCAAAAGCTTCAAGACACAGATTGTAGCTGGAGTGAACTATTTCATGAAGGTAAATGTTGACCTGTTTGGAAGGAACCTGTTACATTCTGACTTTTTCCTCTGGTATTAGATTTTGATCAGTGCTGCAGAGTGACTGGACACTTCTGCGGAGTTAGATAATATTGGATTTTGATATCAAATCCAACTTGAAATGGCTGAAACATACGGCGAGAGGAAGGATTTTTTCTCTTCAGGGAGGACGGAGCACCCAACTCACTTTTTAGGATTTTTATTTTAAAAAATTGTCAATTCATCTGATATGAACAAAAACTACCATTTTTCTTTAGATCCATGTTGGCAATGAAGAGTACCTGCATGTAAACATTTTCCAAGGTTTACCTCCTCTTTGTAAATTATCAATTGATGGCCTGCAGATGAATAAGAAGGCTTTGGATTAAATAGTCCCCTTTTAAAGCACTTAATTATGCCGATGTCTTTTTGAACTTTTAAAAATCTGTATTGAAAAAATTGTCGAATTAGTTTCCTAATTTTCATTAAGGTAAATGTTAACCTTTTTGGTAGGGACCCGTTACATTTTGACTTTACAATAATAATAATCTGGGTTCAATTCCAGGCAGGGCAAAACCTTAGGCAAGTTTCCTTACTCCACACGTCTAATAATAATCCCTCCAAAACCAAAAACAATAATAAAATTGGTCATTTTCAATTCACGACTGTTTGTGGGACATTGCTGTGAGCAATTGGCTGCCGCGTTTTGCCCACAAATATACGAACAGTTCACTTTACAGTATATTCTGTGAAGCGCTTTGAGATGTCTAGAAGATGTGAAAAGTGCTATATCAAATGCAAGGATTATTATTACTATAATCCTTGCTTTTGATATACCACCTTATCACGTCTTTGAGATGTCTCAGAGTGCTTCACAGGATACACTGTAAAGTGAATTTACTATGTATTCTGTGGGCAAAATGCAGCAGCCAATTATGCATAGCATTGTCCCACAAACAGTCGTGGATTGAGTGACCAATTTTTATTATTTTTTTGAAGGGATTTTTATCCCTGGAAAAGCAATCTGCCAATCAACTAACAATCAGGTTCCTCGCTCTAACCAATACACAACAGGACTTTTTCTCTGGAATTGGATTGTGAACAGTGTTAGAGTGACTGGACACTTCCGTGGGGTTAGGTAATATTTGAATTTGATATTGAATCCAACTCTGCCTGAATATGCAGTGAGAGATACTAGATTCCTCTTCCACAAAAATTCTCACAGCTTCAGAAATAAGTTTTAACTTGACGATTAGGATCTATTGAATTCGGAAAGGCAAGACTAGGATGTATTGTAATATTTACCCACACATTTTGTTCATGAACTTTCTTGTGTTGTATATACTCTTCTGCTAAAGGTTTTCAGTTGAAGTTATCTAATAGTTGAACTTATCTAATCAGAAAACGTATGTGTGTCTAATGGCCTAATTCCTCTTTTTTGTGTGTGATTTTTTTAGATCCATGTTGGCAATGATGAGTATCTGCATGCAAGAGTGTACAAATCTTTACCTCCTGGTAAAATATCATTACATGACTTACTGATGCAGAAGACGGCTGTGGATGAAATATGCTACTTTTAAAGTTCTTTATTGTGCTGATGCCTTTATATATCTGCTTCTGATGAGAAGTGGTGTGTAGGTGGTACAGATTAACTCTGGTCTGGTCTGAATACCAAAAAAATATATATGCTTCTAATGGGAGGGTGGAACACTGGTATTCTATCACTTTTTCTGATACAAAACTATTTTTTTAAAAATGTTAATTAGTTTCCTGACATGATTGTAGGATGGTTCTAATAGAAAAATGTATTCTTATTTTTTTAATTAACATTTATTTGAATGATCTCAGTATATTACTCGACTATGCAAAACTATTTTGCCTACAAAATATTTTCAATTAATTAACTTTGCAGCTTATTCTGTGTGCGCAGTGCTTTGAGACGTCTGAACGATGTGATATATATATAAAAATATATATATATATAAATCCACAACTGTTTGTGGGACACTGCTGAGTGCAATTCCACATTTCGTCCACAAAATAGTCAATTCAATTCCCATTATATTCTATGAAGTGTTTTGAAAAGTCTCAATTATGTGATAAGGCTCTCTTATCAAATGCAACTATTATTAAGTATAATGCAAGTTACCTTTGAACTTCAAAAGCAACTTGGGAGAAGAAGTGCAAATGATTCTGTAAAGTTACAAATTTGTCATCAGGCAATACATTAGAATTTTTTTATTTATCTATTGTAACCTGTTGTATCCCTTCAAAAAATTTATAATAATTTGGTCACTCATCTTGTTTGTGGGACACTGCTGTGTGCAATTGTCTGCCGTGTTTCGCCCAATTGTCTGCCGTGTTTCGCCCACATAATATAGTCAATTCACTAATTATATTCTGTGAAGCACTTTGAGATGCCTCGAAGATGTGACAAGGCGCTATTTTAAATGCAAGGATTATTATTAAGTAAATACTATTTGTATCATCTATCCTTGTTGATGAGAAAACCACACAATAAAATAACTACAATAAAAAAATTGAGCCTTATTCTTTGTATTTTTGGGGGGCACGTCGGAAGGGTTTATCTGTGTGCCTACAAAACTGTCACTCAGCTTACAGTAGATCCTGTGAAGGGCACATTTCCAAATGTAACTATTATTGCTGATAACTTTCTGTTTCTACATTTCAATTTGCAAAGACAAATCCAACCAATATTAGTCACTAAACTTTGCTTTATTACTTTTGTCTGATTTTATTCTCTAACTCACTTTTCAATGCTTTGTAACAGTCACCTTTCTGGCATTTCAGTGCATATTCCAGTAGCGTTTTGGGAGAGAAAAACAAATCTTTAATGCTTTTATGCTATAAACTTAAAACTCTTGTCCTCAACTCACCACCAGCAGAAAGCCTTCACCCTTTAAAACCCCGTTCTTAAAACACCTGTACTAAATAACCCTTTCCTTGGTCCAATTAAAAGAAAAAAAAGGTACGGTGAGTGACTGTTGCACAACTTGGTAAATAGTAAATTCAAGCAAATCTTTTCATGACAAGGCTATACTCTAACAGAATCAGTGATCTTTATCTGCAGTTAGCTGGCTTCTCTTTGTCCGCAGTTTCAGAACAATCCATATTGTTGCTTTACAAAGTTTCCACGACTGTAGCCCAATTAAAGTACATACAACTTATCACTGCAACCACCTCTTCCTTTGTTCCTTCACCAATTGTTTTTATAGCCAGTTATTGCACAACTCTGGCCCATTTGCCACAACAGTTCTGGAGATGCTCAGACTACTTTATAAAATAAGCCACTTGAACACAAATCTTTTATTTACATAAACTGTATGGATAATAGATAATATATGTATATGTGTGTTTTTTAAGACTGAATAAACCGTGCTTTAGTAGCTGGCAGATATAGCATTAAGGACAGGTTAGGATGCATTTTGTTGGGAGAAGGTCATCGGGAGAAACTCCTCTTTTTGAACAGTGCCATAGGATGTTGTATGTTCACCTGAACAGGCAGTTTTGGGTCTCATTATGGGGTCTCATCCAAAGGATAGCACCTCCAACATTGCAGCATACCCCAGCACTGCACTAGTGTCAGTTTAGACAATACAAGTTTCAAATCCTGATGTGGGGCTGGAACCCACAATCTTCTGGCTCAAAGGTGAAAGCGCTACCAATTGAGCCAGGCTGACAACAATACTTGTCATATTCTGAAATGATGGAATCAGATGTGCCAAAGGGGCTTCTTAGAACCAATCTTGTGATTAATTTTGCATCTAATACAGGCTCCATTTTAAATCCAAGCTCAATACCAAAGAACCTCTTTGACCTGCTGGCTCAAATATTGATTTTAACAGTTTCCACGTTTTACTACATTGACATATTATCTGTTGCTTTGTTCATTCCATGCCTATGTTATCATTTAGCTCAATATTGGTTGTGCCCATATAATTGACTCATCTGAGATTACCTCTATATTTTCTACCACCTTTTCTTTACAGTAGATTATTTTACCTATTTTTATCATTAACACACAGAATTACCACATGACTTCACATGCACAGTATTAAAAAGCACCAGTGGATTTTCTTTTATTGTATAATCTTCAGAAAGGTAACACATAATTTCACAGTGTGATGTCTTCAGAAATAAAATCTCCAGCCCGCATGTAAGAACCGAACACTTGTAAAATATTTAAAAGTGCTCCTGGACAGAAACGAATGCACATAAACTGCACAGCCACTTTACACATATCCTCTCTAGATGCTTAAAAATAATTTGGGGTGAAACATGATGTGGTAATTAAAAATGAGGACGTGTGGACACCACATTACAGCAGAATCCCCTTTTCAGATGCAAAAACAGAAAGCTGGGAAAACTCAGCAGGTTAGGTAGCATCTATGGAGAAAGTAAGGCAATGTTTCGGGACCCGAAACGTTGACTCACTTTCTCGATAGATGCTGTCTGACCTGCTGAGTTTTTCCAGCTCTCTCTGTTTTTGTTTCAGATTTCCAGCATCTGCATTATTTTGTGTTTTGTCCCTTTTTCAGATGGCTTCTGTGATCTAATGTGATCTATTCTCACTGTTCCTCTGCATAACCTCGCTAAATTTCACAATAATATTTTATAATAGAAACATTTTCCTGGTGATATCATGGGATATTTATTACAGGAATTCTAGATACGACTTTGGCCACGAAAGTGAGACAACAGAGTGTGCAGTGTAACAAAAGGACTGAATTCAATAGTTAGGTTTAGTCTCTACCAGAGGGGGTAGGGGATAGGTATACGACTTTTGTTATGGCTGTACCATATAAACCCTGAAATCAAGTAAAAACCTGAATGTCCATGTGATATTGATGAATCTGGATGGGTGTCAGAAAATTTCAAATCCAAATCTGAGCTAAGAGGCTGAGCTGAAAACACTTTTTGTCAAAAAATACTTTATCAGTTATCAAATAGACCACTAGATGGAGTTGGATATTCAACAGATGCTTTGCCCTAATGTAAACACCCCTCTGTCACTCATATAAGCAGAAATGTATTGGTGGTAGCTGTGGGGAAAATGGATGCACAGACTGACCTCATCCAGACAGGACAAATAGCTCTTTAGAAAAATCACAATTCCTTTTAAACTAGGAAGAACGTTTGTAGAACACAGGCTTTTGGAGATGGTACACACACACACACACAATCGAGTACATAACACTCATGCGTTCACTACTAAAAGCAACAATCTTTTGGTTACATTTTTCTTATGGCAACTCAGACGCAAAGAAAAGATTCTCACTTGAAGTGATCAGTGAACAATGTACCTCTGTGCATACAGATAAATTCTAAAAAGCACACTGGGCAGGCTGACAGAAAGGTACCAGCTTCCTAAACAAACTGATAAAGAGATTTGCAAAAGATTTTAATTTGACAGGTTGGTTAGTTGTTGATGAACTTTGTGTAGCTCAGATGATTAAGCACTTTCCTCCAGTTAGAAAGCTATAGGTACAAATCCCAGAGGCAAACTTGATCGTCTTGGTTGGGAATGTCTTAAAATTCTCATTATATCTACTGACTGGGTTAATGCAGATTGATTTTCAATAGTGCACAGCTAGGCAGCAGATTAGATCAATGGCATACTACAATCAGCACAAATCGGAGCAGCAGGAATGATGCAGATGAGTCAATTTTTTCCTTTTTTTTGGCTTGCCTTGACAACCCACCTGGAAAGTGATGCAGCAACTTCATTGCAATTATCGGTGTGGGTCAATCCCGGTCATTTTCAATATGACAAGTTTTAAAAAATACAATCAAAGACAGAATTCAAACAAGAAGTTTGATTTGTTTTCCTCTGTGCTATTTAATTTTGACCCAATGGACACTGGAAGATTTATGTAAAAAATGATTTTCTGGTGATCACTGTGAGAAAAGGAAACAAATTTGAATGACACAGGTCACATATTCACACTTGTTAAGCAACATGGTTCTTTGCAATTTCAATCAAGAATTTCTACTGTAAACATAGCAGCAACAGATGCGATCTATTTTATGTGTGATTTTGAAAAAGTTTACACACTGCACAAAGTCACTTCTGTGCAAGGATTGCGCAGTCTAAACTTCAAAATATATTGTCTTTGAGCAGATCACAGCAGACTTGCACCATGTTGAACAGCACCATTTTCACTCACATTTATTTAGGCCGTGTTAGATTGCCTTCGCCCTCGTTCGGAGAAAAATCCAATACAAGGGACCTGTCAAATGAAAAACCTTTTGCTTAACCCTATGATCGATCCGGTCCCTATGATGGTCCACTGCATTAAACTCTGAGCAACACTTTCCAATTTATTCGTCTCAAGCCACAGGCAGACAAAGACTGCCCTATGGTCACAATGTCTCAGGGTCACAGGCTCTTTGAAGGCTTGTAGTGAATCCGACAACGTTCATTGAAGATCTTTAAAAAGAAAAATAGAAATAAGTTTAAAAACTTATATTTCAAACTCAAATTTATTGCTTTCTTCTTTCCAGATCATAATCTTTTTTTGACTCAGCCATTAATTTACATTCTGCCAGCTTTTTGAATTTAGATGGGACTCTCTGCCGCTATTTCAAGGAAAAGTGGAGTTTTTCTGTTCCCTTGGCTATCTTGACTTATATTCCCTTTCCATCCAAATTCAGCTCTAAAATTTCTTAATGAATTGGTTACTCATTGTTAGGATTGTTTATTCCTCAGCAGCTCAATTTGATTCCTAATCTCATTAGGTAAAGTACTTTCCATTGTTTTACATTGTTTTCCCAACTCTTCTAATTTAATTAATATTGTTTGCAGTTTTCAATACAATTTGTGTTCTTGGAACCAATATTGGCTGAATAGCATGGTCTATTTTACATGATGGAGCTATATAAATACAAGCTGTTGTTGAAAAATAAATTTATTTGAAAACCTTCATACTTCAATTCCCTTCCTTCATCCAGCCGGTTTATATTTAAAATTTAATTTTATTCCATAGCCCCTCAACTGTGAGGGTGAGGCAATAAGTAATTGGCATCAGTAGCTTCCTTGTTGCAAATACACTTCAGAATCAATGGCTGTGTTTATTTTATTCCTTTTCTGGAATAAGATCCTTGGTCTCTATAAATGTCAGGTCTATGTGAAAACTAGCCCAAAATTTAAATGTAAAAACAGTCTGATTCTCAGATGTTATCCGGGTGCCTTCTCAGATTCACACTGTTGAAATATAATCGGACAGTCCTGTTAGATGAACATTAGATTAAGTTTATCAGTGAAACAATCATAATTAGATTTTGCATGTATTTGGTATAAAGGCAGTTTTAAAAAACTCTACCTTCCAACTTCTGTCATTGACAACCTCTTCAACATTCAATTCAGACTGCATCAATTTCAGCTGAAACAAATACAACAGACATTCGTAATACTGGCATAGAATCATGGGGGGTGGGCGGGGGACAACACACATAATATCCACCCTCCGCCACACATGCACACAAGCATGTAATTAAACGATGCTGCAGTTATATGTAGCATAATCCTATTAAAAGACAGTATAATACCTGAGGTGTTACAACTGATATAAGTGCCTCCCAACAAAAAAACATTGTGAAATTCCTTTTGTTACATTTGCTGGGAATCATTAATCATGCAAAATTAAACACAAGTAAAAGAATAAAGTGGTTATGGCAGAAATCTGAAACAAACAGAAAATGTTGGAAATGTATAACAGATTAATGAGGATCGGAAAAAGATAAGTTAAGATGTCCAATAGAATTCAATGACTTACATGTGTTTGTTCTTTTCGAAGACACTTTAGAAGTGTTACATTGTCCATATTTTTATTTCTCTCTTCTCGTAGCTTAGTCACCACAGCAGAAGACTGATTTATGCAGGATTTTATGGCTTTTTCCCTAGTGTTGTGAGCTTGCTTTAACTGAAACAAGAAAGTTAATCAGCCTTGTGATAAATTCCAGTTTCAACAAAATATTAACATGATAGATATAGACATTGAATTTCTATTGCGTTCTTGTCTTGTTGTTCAATTTGAATGAGTTAATGCAAGATTAAAATCAATAGGCAGAATGGCTTTCTCCTAGACTGTCATTTCTATAAAACTATTTACTACGTTAAATGGCTTCATTGTAAGAGTTCTGTGCTTTTTGTATTCTGCCAATATTGGTTCCAAGAATACGAATTGTATTGAAAACTGCAAAAAACATTAATTAAAGTAGAAGAGTGGGGAAAACAATGGAAATCTACATTTACTTACAGCCTCGTAAAGCTGCTTGCATGTTTGTGTGGCATCGATCTTTCCAGCAAACGATGCTGTGGGAATAGTGGTATTCAGTTCATGGACTATCCTGTCATCAATCTGTCGCATCATCTTCAGTACCTCCTAATGAAAGGAAGAAGATCAAGATGGGGCACTTGAAATACTAGTTACAATTGAGTTCAGATAATGAAATCAAACCCTTCCAATTTCTGGTCTATCCAGCCTATCCCTCCTCCCCTGTTAATAATAATCCTTGCATTTGATATAGCGCCTTATCACATCTTTGAGACATCTCATAGCTCTTCACTGAATATATTGTAAAGTGAGTTGAAATTCATTTAGTTAATGAATGAGACATAAATAATGCACAATATATTACATTAGAGAACAATATATAATGTATTTAATACATTTTAAACCTGCTGGAGCACCAAGTCATACAGATTTTTAAAAATGAAAACACAGCAAAATGTAACACTCCTGAACACTATCCAGGATGAACAGTAAACAAGTATGGGAGTTAGAGATGAACAGGATAGGCTCAGATGTAGTGACTGGTGTCATATAGCTAATATTTTTAAATTTCTTCTCAGACTGTAGGATATTTAATATTTCCATTAAATCCAAATATCAATTGCTAGTAAACCCAGGGTAAAAGGTATGTATCATTGCCGTTAAACCCAGGGTACATCTACTCAGGTAACTTGAGCTTCTTGCGCATCCTCTGACCTCTCTGTGACTATGACTGAACTTTCAGTTCTTATGCTCCTACCCCTCTAGAACTCCTTCCCTCTACCACTTTGGCTCACCTTCTCGTTTTGTTATTCAGTCCCACCTCAAATCCTTCCTCTTTAAGCACATCTATGGCCACCAAACCCCTTTCTTCCCTTGCTTGGGTGTCCGACCCTGTCCTTGCAAACCTCTTGGAGACATTACCCTACATGGGCCCCATATAAATGCTAACTGTTTTGTTGCTGCACTAAATCCAGGGTACAAGATATTTAGTATTTCCACTGAACCTGGGTACAATGAATTTTAAGGTTTTAGCTAAACCCCAGGTACTGGGTATTTATCCACACGACCCTGTTGACTGAAGTGCTGCAGGGATAGTGATAAGGATAGTGATGGGGATAGGGACAGCAATAGGGATAGTGATGGGGATAGTGATAGTGACAGTGATAGTGACAGGGAAAGTGATAGGGACAGTGATAGTGATAGGGATAGGGACAGTGATGGGGATAGGGATAATAATAATAATAATCCTTGCATTTGATATTGCGCTTTTCACGTCGGGAGGACGTCCCAAAGCGCTTCACAGAACACACTGTAAAGTGAATTGACTGTACATTCTGTGGCGAACGCGGCAGCCAATTACTGCACAGCAATGTCCCACAGACAGTCATGGATTGAGAATGACCAATTTATTATTGTTTTTGGTTTTGGAGGGATTATTATTAGGCTCTGTGTGGAGTAAGGAAACTTGCCCAAGGTTTCGCCCTCTGCCTGGAATTGAACTCAGATCTCTCGCTTACAAAGCGAGTGCTCTAACCACTGAGCTACAGGACTCCACTAGTGATGGGGATAAGGATAGTGATGGGGCTAGTGATGGGGATAGGGCTAGTGATGGGGATAGGGCTAGTGATGGGGATAGGGCTAGTGGTGGGGATAGGGCTAGTGATGGGGATAGGGATACTGATGGGGATAGGGCTAGTGATGGGGATACGGCTAGTGATGGGGATAGGGCTAGTGATGGGGATAGGGCTAGTGATGGGGATAGGGCTAGTGATGGGGCTAGTGATAGAGATAGTGATGGGGATAGTGATGGGGATAGTGATGGGGATAGTGATGGGGCTAGTGATAGAGATAGTGATGGGGATAGTGATGGGGATAGTGATGGGGATAGTGATGGGGATAGTGATGGGGATAGGGCTAGTGATGGGGATGGGGATAGTGATGGGGCTAGTGATGGGGATAGTGATGGGGCTAGTGATGGGGCTAGTGATGGGGCTAGTGATGGGGCTAGTGATGGGGCTAGTGATGGGGATAGTGATGGGGATAGTGATGGGGATAGTGATGGGGATAGTGATGGGGATAGTGATGGGGATAGTGATGGGGATAGTGATGGGGATAGTGATGGGGATAGTGATAGTGATGGGGATAGTGATGGGGATAGTGATGGGGATAGTGATGGGGCTAGTGATGGGGATAGTGATGGGGATAGTGATGGGGATAAGGCTAGTGATAGGGCTAGTGATGGGGCTAGTGATGGGGCTAGTGATGGGGCTAGTGATGGGGCTAGTGATGGGCTAGTGATGGGGCTAGTGATGGGGATAGTGATGGGGCTAGTGATGGGGCTAGTGATGGGGCTAGTGATGGGGCTAGTGATGGGGCTAGTGATGGGGCTAGTGATGGGGATAGTGATGGGGATAGTGATGGGGATGGGGATAGTGATGGGGATAGTGATGGGGATAGTGATGGGGATAGTGATGGGGATAGTGATGGGGATAGTGATGGGGATAGTGATGGGGATAGTGATGGGGATAGTGATGGGGCTAGTGATGGGGATAGTGATGGGGATAGTGATGGGGATAGTGATGGGGATAAGGCTAGTGATAGGGCTAGTGATGGGGCTAGTGATGGGGCTAGTGATGGGGCTAGTGATGGGGCTAGTGATGGGGCTAGTGATGGGGCTAGTGATGGGGATAGTGATGGGGATAGTGATGGGGATAGTGATGGGGATAGTGATGGGGATAGTGATGGGGATAGTGATGGGGATAGGGATGGGGATAGGGATGGGGATAGGGATGGGGATAGGGATGGGGATAGGGATGGGGATAGGGATCGTGATGGGGCTAGTGATGGGGCTAGTGATGGGGCTAGTGATGGGGCTAGTGATGGGGCTAGTGATGGGGCTAGTGATGGGGATAGGGCTAGTGATGGGGCTAGTGATGGGGCTAGTGATGGGGATGGGGGTAGTGATGGGGGTAGTGATAGAGCTAGTGATGGGGCTAGTGATGGGGCTAGTGATGGGGCTAGTGATGGGGCTAGTGATGGGGCTAGTGATGGGGGTAGTGATGGGGGTAGTGATGGGGGTAGTGATGGGGGTAGTGATGGGGGTAGTGATGGGGTAGTGATGGGGGTAGTGATGGGGGTAGTGATGGGGTAGTGATGGGGATAGTGATGGGGATAGTGATGGGGGTAGTGATGGGGATAGTGATGGGGGTAGTGATGGGGGTAGTGATGGGGATAGTGATGGGGGTAGTGATGGGGGTAGTGATGGGGGTAGTGATAGTGATGGGGGTAGTGATGGGGGTAGTGATAGTGATGGGGATAGTGATGGGGATAGTGATGAGGATGGGAGTAGTGATGGGGATAGTGATGGGGATAGTGATAGTGATGGGGGTAGTGATGGGGGTAGTGATGGGGGTAGTGATGGGGGGTAGTGATGGGGTAGTGATGGGGGTAGTGATGGGGGTAGTGATGGGGGTAGTGATGGGGGTAGTGATGGGGGTAGTGATGGGGGGGGGGTAGTGATGGGGGTAGTGATGGGGGTAGTGATGGGGTAGTGATGGGGGTAGTGATGGGGGTAGTGATGGGGGTAGTGATGGGGGTAGTGATGGGGGTAGTGATGGGGTAGTGATGGGGGTAGTGATGGGGTAGTGATGGGGGTAGTGATGGGGGTAGTGATGGGGTAGTGATGGGGGTAGTGATGGGGGTAGTGATGGGGGTAGTGATGGGGGTAGTGATGGGGGTAGTGATGGGGGTAGTGATGGGGAGTGGGGGGTAGTGATGGGGGTAGTGATGGGGGTAGTGATGGGGGTAGTGATGGGGGTAGTGATGGGGGTAGTGATGGGGGTAGTGATGGGGGTAGTGATGGGGGTAGTGATGGGGGTAGTGATGGGGGTAGTGATGGGGTAGTGATGGGGTAGTGATGGGGTAGTGATGGGGGTAGTGATGGGGGTAGTGATGGGGGTAGTGATGGGGGTAGTGATGGGGGTAGTGATGGGGGTAGTGATGGGGGTAGTGATGGGGGATAGTGATGGGGATAGTGATGGGGTAGTGATGGGGGTAGTGATGGGGTAGTGATGGGGTAGTGATGGGGGTAGTGATGGGGTAGTGATGGGGGTAGTGATGGGGGTAGTGATGGGGGTAGTGATGGGGTAGTGATGGGGGTAGTGATGGGGGTAGTGATGGGGGTAGTGATGGGGGTAGTGATGGGGTAGTGATGGGGTAGTGATGGGGGTAGTGATGGGGGTAGTGATGGGGGTAGTGATGGGGGGTAATGGGGGTTGTGATGGGGGGTGATGGGGGTAGTGATGGGGGTAGTGATGGGGATAGGGATAGTGATGGGGATAGTGATGGGGGTAGTGATGGGGATAGTGATGGGGATAGTGATGGGGATAGTGATGGGGATAGTGATGGGGATAGTGATGGGGGTAGTGATGGGGGTAGTGATAGTGATGGGGGTAGTGATAGTGATGGGGATAGTGATAGTGATGGGGGTAGTGATGGGGGTAGTGATGGGGGTAGTGATGGGGGTAGTGATGGGGGTAGTGATGGGGATAGTGATGGGGATAGTGATGGGGATAGTGATGGGGGTAGTGATGGGGGTAGTGATGGGGATAGTGATGGGGGTAGTGATGGGGGTAGTGGTGGGGATAGTGGTGGGGATAGTGGTGGGGATAGTGGTGGGGATAGTGGTGGGGATAGTGGTGGGGATAGTGGTGGGGGTAGTGATGGGGGTAGTGATGGGGGTAGTGATGGGGATAGTGATGGGGATAGTGATGGGGGTGGTGATGGGGGTAGTGATGGGGGTAGTGATGGGGATAGTGATGGGGGTAGTGATGGGGGTAGTGATGGGGGTAGTGATGGGGATAGTGATGGGGATAGTGGTGGGGATAGTGGTGGGGTAGTGATGGGGGTAGTGATGGGGATAGTGATGGGGGTAGTGGTGGGGGTAGTGATGGGGATAGTGATGGGGATAGTGATGGGGGTAGTGATGGGGATAGTGATGGGGATAGTGATGGGGGTAGTGATGGGGGTAGTGATGGGGATAGTGATGGGGATAGTGATGGGGGTAGTGATGGGGATAGCTGTCGCTGGGCCGCTCCCCGGGCCCTGTCTCTCCGGGTTCGTCAATGAGGGTCACACGGTCGAGCGCTGCCATCTCTCTGTCCCGAGCGAGGCCGCCCCCGGCCCGCACTCTGCCGCTGGCCCGAGTGAGTCAGGGTCCAGGCCGCCCCGGGGCTGGGCTGGGCTGGGCTGGGGTTGGCTGGTGGGTCGGTCACCGGTTCCTCACCTGAAACTCCGAGAAATCCTCGCAATTCAGCTCCTCACTGGGCGCCGCCATCTTCTGCCGCCTCTCAGGACCCGAGTCTGCCCAGAGCCCGCCTGCGGCAAACACACACAGTCACTGCACACAGTCACACACAATCACTACACACAGTCACACACACACACAATCACTGCACACAGTCACACACACACAATAACTACACACAGTTACACACAATCACTGCACACAGTCACACACAATCACTGCACACAGTCACACACACACAATAACTACACACAGTTACACACAATCACTGCACACAGTTACACACAATCACTGCACACAGTTACACACAATAACTGCACACAGTTACACACAATAACTGCACACAATCACACACACAATAACTACACACAGTTACACACAATCACCGCACACAGTTACACACAATAACTGCACATAATCACTGCACACAGTTGCACACAATAACTGCACACAGTTACACACAATAACTGCAGTTACACACACTAGCTACACACAATCACACACACACACACACAATCACTGCACAGTTACACACACACAATAACTACACAGAATCAAACACACACATAACTACAGTTGCACACACAATAACTACACACAATTACACACAATAACTACACACAATTACACACAATAACTACACAATCATATCCAATAACTACACACAGTTACACACACATAACCACTAATAATATAATAATCCTTGCATTTGATATAGCGCTTTTCACGTCTTCTAGACGTCTCAAAACACTTCACAGAATATACTGTGAAGTGAATTGACTGTATATTTGTGGGCGAAACGCTACACTACAATCACACACAATAACTTCACACAATCACACGCAACCAAATAAATAATACAAACCAAACACACACAACCAACCAAATACACACACAAACCAAACATAAAGGAATACAATTGAACAGTCTTCAGTCACACCACAAAAAAAATCCTTTCATTTGATTCACACCTTCGAGACGTCTCAAAGTGCCTCACAGAATATACTGTAAACTGAATTGACTGTATTATTTGTGAGCAGCCGATTGCACACAGCAGTGTCCTGCAAACAGTCATGGATTGAAGTGACCAATTTATTATTATTATTTTTGAAGGAATTATTATCCCCGGAAAAGCGATCTGTCAACCGACTAACTACCGGGTTCCTACTCACTGCTAGATAAACAGAGGACAGAGGCGTGTGGCTTAAGGAAACTTGCCTAACATTTTGCCCTCCCGGGAACAGAACCCAGGTCTCTCGCATGCGAGGCAAGCGCTCTAACCACTGAGCTGCAGGACTCCACACACAAAAAAAACACCATCTTGCATTTAATTTCTGGCCGCAAAGTCCTTGCTGTTGACCACTGTGCAGACTATCTTAAAATGCCTTTCCACCTTTGTGGAGACCCAGTCTCGTTGTTTAGCAAAGGCAGTTAGTGATGTGCGTAGAATCATAGAATCGCCTGTGCCGGCTCTTTGAAAAGAGCTATCCGAATGAATCCCATTCCCCCGTTCTCTCCACCATAGCCCTGCAAACTTGTCCTCCCAATGTTGGTTCGAATCTGTGCCGTTTGACTATTTAATTATTTATTATACACCCACACACAGACACACACCAGGCTCTGGAAGCCCACACACTCCTCCAGGTGTTTCATTGGGTTCGCCATTTGCCGCATTTTTTTAAATTTAAGATCTCGAGCTTTTCCTCCCTCCCCATCATCACAGGTGCGCACTCTCCCTCACACACTCACTCACGCACACAATTACTCTCACTCACTCACGCACACAATTACTCTCACTCACTCACGCACACAATTACTCTCACTCACTCACGCACACAATTACTCACTCACTCACACTCTCTCACACACACTCGCTCACTCACACACACACATTCGCTCAATCTCACTCTCGCACACTCTCTGACTCAATCTCACACTCACACACTCACTCACACACAATTACTCTCAGACTCACACTCATTCTCACACACACACACTCTCACTCACTCACACACACTCTGACTCACACACTCACTCACTCTCTCACACAGTCTCACACACTCTCACTCTCTCACACACACTCACTCTCAGACTCACTCTCACTCACTCACTCTCTCTCACACTCACGACTCACACACTCTCACTCTCTCACACACACTCACTCTCAGACTCACTCTCACACACACTGACAGCCGTTGAACCGTCTGGTGTTCACACTTTCACAGCCTCACAATAAACGGTGTGTTATTTCTACCTGCGCTTTAATATCATATGTAATGAGCTGTTTGTCGGGCCCTCGCCGACCGCGCGCTCTCTATCCTTCACCGCCTCCACAGAGGTCGCAGCGGCAGACACTGCGCAGGCGCCGATGGCTGGGTGGCACTGCGCAGGCGCCGATGGCTGGGGTGGGGGGCCCAGTAGCTGACACTGCGCAGGCGCCGATGGCTGGTCGGGGGGGGGATCCCGGTAGCTGACACTGCGCAGGCGCCGATGACTGGGTGGCACTGCGCAGGCGCTGATGGCTGGGGGGGGTTGGGGGTCCCAGTAGCTGACTCTGCGCAGGCGCCGATGCCCGGGCGCCGCGCATGCGCCGTGCGCTTGCCCTCGGCCAGCTTTGGCCCGAGTGGAGGATGTGGAGCCGTGTCTCTGCCGCGGCTCAGCGGCGGCTCCCGGGCCCCGGGGCGACCTGGGGGCTGGGCCGAGGGGAGGGGCCGAGCAGGGCGCCCGGCGCGGGCGGCCGGAGGAGGTGTCTGAGCGGCAGGACTCAGGGCAGCAACCTGGTGCCTGAGCCGGGCCGCCCCGCCCGGCCCGAGCCTGAGGGCGGAGGTAAAGGAGCGGGAGAGGGGCTGTCCAGCCCCGAGGCCGGACCCTGACCCGGTGCAAACAACAACGACGACGACGACGACGATAATAATAATAATAATAATAATAAAACAATTATAGTCATTGATCCGACGCCTCTCTCACCGCGTCTTTCGAGCCGTCCGCGCGGGATATTGCGGTTGAGTGAGAGTAACGGTGGAGGCTTTGCGAGAGGGAGACCCCCCCACTGGGCTTCGGCTCCCCGTGGGGGCGAAGCCTTGGGCACGTTTGCTTACTCCTCCCCGCCCGCCCCCGCCTCCCCCGCCCCCGCCCGCCCGGTAGCCATCCCTCCAGGGGAAAGAAAACGGTCACAAAAAAAAAAATCGGTCATTTTCAATCTCATGGCGGTTTGTGGGGATGGGCCGCTGCTGTGCGCCATCGGCCGCCGGGTTTTCGCCCACGAATGTACGGTCCATTCACTTTACAGTCTATTCCGTGCAGAGCGCGATATCAAATGCAAGGATTGTTGTTGTTATTATTATTATTATTACATACAGTAAAGTGAATTCACTGCGTGTGTGTGTGTGTGTGAAACGCGGCAGCCAGTCGCGCGCGGCGGCGTCGCCGCGAACACCCGTGGATTGAGTGACCACATTTTCCAATCCGGGTCGATGCTGTGGCACACGGCCGGGGGCAGCACTGCTTTGTCAAAAGTCCTTCGGTCCAAGGTCCTGGCTTGAGTTCTGACGGAAGGTCATAGACCTGAAACGTTAACTCATTTTCCTCTCTCCATAGATGCTGCCTGACCTGCGTGTCCCCAGCGACTTGTGTTTTTGTTTCAGATGGCCAGCGTCAGCAGTGTTTCGCCCCAGACAGGAGGCAAAAGATCTTTTTTTTAAAAAAAATCTTAAAAGATCGTTAAAAGGACCCTTTCACAGGCGGAAGTTAACGGTCGCCATGCCACTATGGGAAAAGAGCGAGGAGTTTCTCTCGGGGTCCTGGCCAATAATACACCTCTCTCTCCACACACAAATAAAATTTGTGTGTGGACCTTGTGTGCAAAATGAATACCCCATTTGCTGAGAGATGACACAGTCAATACACTTGACAGCAATTATGTTTTAGGTGGCAATGCAAATGTGAGAATGTGTCTTCCCTCCCCGATAGATTGTCATATAAGTTCACACACTCTGATTTGGTTTAGATATTGAAGATTTCTGGACCGTGTGAGATGGAGATGGTATTACCAGTATCGTCAGAGGTGACCATTAACTGGGGGAGGGAAAAAACTGAAAATATTTTCATTTATACTACTACTACTAAGAATAATAATCCTTGCATTTGTTGTAGACCTTATCACGTTGTTCAGATGTCTAAAAGCGCTTCAAAGAATTTAATGTAAAGTGAATTGACTGTATATTTTGTGGGCAAAACTTGGCAGCCAATTGCGCACAACAGTGTCCCACAAACAGCCATGGATTGAGTGACCAAATACACGATAAGAACTATAGAAAAATATGAGTGTTCCTTGTACCTGTTGCTGATACAATACAATATACAATACAAAATTACATTTGTATAGCCCTTTCACGTCGGGAGTATGTCCTAAGGCCCTATGAAGATATTGGCAATACCATTGATATTTCAGCTGCTTTTGCGCTTGCTCAGTTTCTCAATAATTAGAATTTTATTCAGTAAAAGAAAACTTTAGTATAGAGTAATATATATTTTTACACAGACTGGTTGGGCCGATTGGCCTATTTCCATGCTGTGCATTCTTTGTGTAAATGCAAATAATATACTGTATATGCAAAATATAAAATGAATATAAAAAAATTGTGCTAACTCCAAGGAGACCTGACCTTTCAGGATGTGGAGGCTCTAACATGTTCAGTTCTTATCAGCCACGGAATAAAAGTAGTTAGCGAGTTTCATGGACTGCAAAGATCATAGTCATTTTCATTCCTGGAGCTCTCACTGCTATTTGGCAGATATATACACTTATTAACAATATACTGTTGGGGTTTCTTGCTCACCGAGTACATCTTTGTTTAACATGCTTCTGATGTTTGATGTTCAGTGAAAATACATCTCGTCTCCTTTCTTGCAGAACGTCCAGCGTACAAACTGCCTGGTTTCACACCTTCAAATATGGATAAAAGATTGCTCCTATGGGCTGGTCGATTCAAACGTGAAGAGGACATACCAGCTGTGGTTTCGTAAGTGTTTAAACAGGGTATGCAATTGTACGAGTTCATGGCTTCAAATGTGGGTCTCAGTGTTGATTCTCTATTTCACTTTCTTCCCCCCATCTTTGTTTTCTTCTCCCAAAGGCACTTACTCAACCCAATCTGCCTGTTTTGGTAAATTTCGAAACAAGAAGGGAGTTTCTCCTAGTGTTGTGGACAAAAATCCTCCAACTAAAATTGGTCTTTCACTTAATGGCTTTTTGTTGGATATTGCTGACCACAAATTGGCTACTGCATTCACCTACAAAATATAGTCACTACATTATTATAGTAATTCCTTCTAAGAACTTTGAGACATCTGAACAACGTGATCAGGTGCTAGATCAAATTTAAGTTTAATTATTAATATATTGAAAATCTCATCAGAGTATTCATAAAGAGAAGAGTTTCTTCCTATTTCCTGGCTTGCAATGCTGCAGATGAATTGGTCTTTCAATTGGCTCTTTGGGGGCCTTTGCTATATGTATTTGCTCATGCATTTTCCTACTTATACTCAGTCACTACACTTGACAGCAAGTACCTATGAAGTGCTTTGAGGTGTTTTTGACATTATAGGTGCTAATGTAAATACGAGATTTTTATAACCTGTAATTTCATGATCACTTGGACATCGCAGGATAGTCAAGAATATTAAATTTAAGACTTAAATACTGCCGTCAAGTGAGACACTTCTTGGGTTTTAAAGAGTGGGCTTGTTGTTTAATATACAATCCTTTCTTCTCTCCTAATGTCTCAAAAGCATGTTAAATAGAATTGCTGTACAAATAATGTGAACGTGGACTTTGCTGAGAGTTTATTTCATGGAGGTAGTGTGGAAAATTAAGTGAAAATACCACACAAGTTATTTGGTGTAGAGCTGCAACAGACAAACTGTTGTATAATCATTGGTCAAGGAGAGTTGACAGGTTGATTTTTCTGCTGATAAATTTGAATCTATTTCTATTCTAGGTTTGAGATGATCGATGCTGCAAGGAACAAAATGAGAGTGAAAGCCTGTTACGCTATGGTACTCTTGACAGTTTTAGCCTGCATTGGAACAGTCATTGCAGGGAAGAAGGTGAGAAGCTGTTTTATTAGGCAGTTCAGGAACAGGGGGAAAAAAATCAGGATTCAAGAAAAATATTCCTAATTACTCAAGTACTTCCGGTAATACATGAATAACTTTTAACTCACCTAAATACACAGATTTCTTATAAGTCACTTGAGCAATAATTTATACTTGCTTGGATTATGATACAACAAATGTTAAAAATGCATGAAGCAGTGGTAAGAATTACTTAATTTGAAATCAAGCAACTGCTTTTGCATGTTCTTTGGCCCTGGAGAATTCAAGCCAGTCTTGAGATTTCCTTGCCTCATTATCCATTTATGGTATCATTTTTATATTCCAAATCCAAAAAGTAATTCCCAGTCTAAACTCTTAATTCTTGCCTACTCACATTAGATGGCGCTATGCTGTCAAGTTATAAAAGCTGAGCTGTCACTGGGATTCGCAACTTCAATGTGTTCCCTTTGAAGATAATAAAGTATTCCATCTTGGGGAAGNAAAAATAAGCATTCCATTTCTCACTAAAATGTCTTTGTGATAGTGTTACCTCTATTATGCTATGGATCGTAGCTCCTAATTTTTTTCCTTCTGTGTTTGTTGTATTTTCTGCTTTGTTTATAGGGCATTAAATATAGCAGAAACCTTATTTAACGTGCCAGACACTGGTGTCTAAGGATGTATGTAATAAGGGTGGAGTGTAGCTATTTGGCATGCTCATCTCACAACAAGTGCGTCTGTTGGGCAATTCAGAGTACTATTGGTGGCAATCGTGGAAAAGTCTTTGAACTGGATCTTTGTGGATGAGCAAAGGAAGCAAATTGCAACCAGCTCTCTGGTTCTAAATAGTGAAGTTAATGCAATTCCCTCAACCACACAGTTTCACCAATTTAAAAAGGTGCTTACCTCAAGGCTTGCTTCTAAAGCCAAGGAGGCTCTGCTTGGGGAGACTCTCACCCAGAATTGAAAGGCCTTACACCACTACTGATTCAGGGCCACATATATAGAATGGTGACTTGGGTGAGATATCTGTGCAGCCAACAACTTCAGGAGATCAGGGAGGGAGAAATAAGGAGGAAGGCATTTAAATAGAATATTCCAAAGGGATGAGTTATGCATTATCTTGAGTGAGCAGTTAGAAGTCTCAACAAGTCCCTTTCCATATCGCTAGTGGCATAGATTCTGTCAACCTAGAAATCTAATGCTTCTTGACTATTCTGCCAGAACAGATAAAGCTCAGATGCTAAAGATCACTTTACAATTGCATGATACTGTTCACTTCAATTTTTCTTCGATTGTGTCTGCATTTGGGAAGATTTATGTTGTGCGAAACAAGCGAGGTTTGAACTGGTTCAAAAGTTTCAAGTCCAAAACTCATTTGGTTCCTAGAAATTCTGACCTTCAATTTTTGTTCCCTTCTAATGCACGTTTGCAGGCTGCTGGTAGACAGGAGTCATTGACGGCCATGAACATGGAGAAAAGAGCCAGGTGGAAAGAAGAGGCTCAAAGAGAATTAGAGGCTTCCAAAAATCAGTGATTGAACATGATCTGAAACAAGAATTGATGTTAAATAGGGCTCAGATGCATACTTGCAGCTTGTGTGTGTGATACACCAGTACTTTGGTCTGTGTCCAAGAGGCTCCAGGATCCCACAAAATGTAACGAGTTTGAAAGAAAATAAAGATTATTTAAAACCACTGCCACTTTATATAGGCTGCTTAAATTCAAGTGAGTGGAAGTAGCCATCAACATGACAAAATCTCATTCCCTGCAGAGAAGCGTTCTATCGAACGGGAATCACTACATTGCTGTTTCCAGACATCTGTAATTTGTAACCGATAGAAGGAAAGAAAACTGTGGGCTTTTGTAGACGTTTGTTGACAAAATACTCACCTTGAAGGACTTTTATGTATTGTTTTATTAAGAATTTTATTTACTTATTTAATCTACATACACAAAACATTTTGAATGTTTCCAAAGATTGCAGGAGATGCCCGTTTCTTACATAATAATAATAATCGTTGCATTTGATATACCGCCCTATCACGTCTTTGAGACGTCTCAAAGCGCTTCACAGAATACACTGTAAAGTATTTTGTTGGGAAAACTTATATATTTGATGAGAATGTCAGAATCGATTCAACCCTTTTTGGTGATCTCAAAGGTCTAGTTCCTGAGACACGAGGGACGGGGTTCGTCCCACGCATCTCTTGTTAAAATTGCAAGTTAAAGCCCTAAAGAGAATTGTAGTCCTAGCTAGACAAGTGGCAAGATTGCCAGACAGTGCTCTCAACAGCAATCTATGGTTTCAGCTGATTAACCTCCACCTGTACATAAACAAATACCCAGGTCCCTAAACCATGGATCTTGCCAACTTATGTCTAATGTCATCTGGAATTAGGTAAGCAGATGCTCACCAGGGAAAGTGTGCATTCCATTCCAGACAACAGAAATTTCCATATGTAGGTAGTATACATATGTCTCAGCCTAATTGGATGAGCCAGATGATGGATTTCCACGTGTCAGACACGCGGCTGACCAAAAAAAAATCATTCACAAAATCTCAGGACAATATTAGTTGTAAGAACTCTACAGAGCATTGGCTACTCAACATTCATTGTTATTTCGTATCTTTCCAGATCAAAAATAGTATCAAATGGTTGAGAAATACACACATAAACAGGCATCAGTGCTTGTGGTGGGCAAAGTCTGTAGGGATTCTCATTTGAACTCGTTCAAAAAGGGTGTTGTAAATAATTTATGGAAGGTGTCTGGGATGAGTAATCTTACATACACATAGCTGTGGTTTACAAGTTTCTTTCATTAACTTAAAATGAATCTTACCTGCTGTGATCACAAGTGTACAGTTGGTTGTAAATTCACGGATGCAAATGTGTTGCTGTATTGTTCTGTGGTAGTTTATCATCAGTACAGGCTTCACTATACACTGTCAGTAAACCATTGTTTCTAGTTGTAGGTGAACTAAAAGCTAAGTGTTTTGCTTGGTGTAATACTGTACTTGATATTATAAACATACCGATTGTTGTTAATAAGATTTGAGTGCTGATTTAAGTATTGACTTGTTTTGGGCCGAATACTTTGAGAAACAACAATCGTGACTGCATATTGTTTGTAGTTTAATAATGGAATTGAGAGGATTTGGTAGCATATGTACCCGTCTATGAGAGATCACAATTTTCAGGTTATTGAATGCACTTCCATGTTCACTTATAATGAACTGGATATGCCTACTTGACATGAGATAGAGGCTACCATGCATGTCACATTCATCTGCAATGCAGCAATTACAGTAATTTATCAGTAGTATTGCGAATATGTACATATATTTCAATGGGGTATGGGGAAAGCACAGGTAAAGGGGACAAAGGATTGCTCTCAAAAGTGGCCACAGATACGATGGCAATAGATTTCTTTAGTTCTATGTACTATGCTTTCAGACCACAAGCATAAAGATGTTTGAAACTCTTTGTGTACAAACATAGAAATAAAGTGGTGGTTTGTAAAACAAACATTATGTAATACCCAGAATATGAAATTCAGTACACTTGCTATTTGGTTTGGATACACAGTGAGTGTCCATCATCCATAATGCTAGGTTATGGTACAATTGCAATCTAGAGTTTTGTATCTATCATGGTTGCTAATTTTGCTAGTCATTCAAAGCTGTGCACCTCAGTCGCTGAAATCCTGTAATAATAATAATCCTTGCATTTGATATCGCGATTTTCATGTCGGGAGGACGTCCCAAAGTGCTTCACAGAACACACTGTAAAGTGAATTGACTGTATATTTGTGGGCGAACGCGGCAGCCAATTGCGCACAGCAATGTCCCACAAACAGTCGTAGATTGAAAATGACCAATTTAATTATTGTTTTTGTTTTTTGGAGGGATTATTATTAGGCGTGTGGAGTAAGGAAACTTGCCCAAGGTTTCGCCCTGCTTGGAATTGAACTCAGGTCTCTCACTTGCAAAGTGAGTGCTCTAACCACTGAGCTGCAGGACTCCACAAAGTAGACTGTAGCTCAGTGGTTAGAGCACTCGCCTCGCAAGTGAGAGACCTGGGTTCAATTCCTGGCAGGGTGAAATGTTTGGCGAGTTTCCTTTCTCCACACACCTCTGTTTACCTAGCAGTAAGTAGAAACCCGGTTGTTAGTCGATTGCTGATCGCTTTTCCGGGGATTAATAATTCCTTCAAAAAATAAAGAAAAATTGTTCACTTCAATCCACAACTGTTTGCGGGGCACTGCTGTGCACAATTGGGTGCTGCGTTTCACTCACAAAATATACAATCACTTTACAGTATATTCTGTGAAGCACTTTGAGACACTAGAAGACGTGAAAAGCGCTATATCAAATCCAAACATTATATTAAGTGTTCCACTAAGATTTTTAACCTAATGTCATACAGAAATTACAACAACAATAACTTGCACTTACATAGCGCCCTCCACACAAGATAGCATCTCAGAGCACTTAACAGTGGCAGAGCCTGACTCCGAGCCAGGGGTGGGGGACGTGGTGGCTGTAAGCATAGTCGAAGAGGAAGGGCTTCAAGCGGGAGCAAATTAATATTAAGTTGCTGGAATTCTCTAAAAGATAATACATTCTGGAAAACAAAAACAATAAATATCCCAATAATAAACAATGGAACACAATCTTTGATATTACAACGTGTTGCTTACAATTTCCTGACTAAATGTTTTCATCATAATTTGTTGCCCTGCCTGATTGAACGCCTGCTCAGCCATATTAGGTTTTTAAGTCTCTCTGTTTCTATTACTCAGCTGAAAAGCAGAATTGAAAATTTCAGTGTTTGCACTTTATTGCAACAATGAACTGTCTCACACGAAAGTGGATGCGAACAAGGAGATGTGTGTACAGAACTGGATTGTAACCTTGCCAACTGGCATTAGTGCCACATCTTGCCCTCAGTTATTTACAAAACTGAGTGAACCAAAATGTAGTTGATTATAATTTGAAGAGTTAGCATATTTTACCAGCCTGCAAGAGAATATGAGTACTGGAAATGGAAGAAAACATTGATTGACATCAATTGCTCATCCAATTTATTTAGTCTCATTTAGATGAGAAACTTACATCAACAACGGACAATTAAAATTTGCGGAATATAAATTACTTCATTGAATAGTTTTTTTTCTTAAAACGAATCCCGCTGCAATACTCTAATTGCACTCAAAGCTGAATACACACAAGCAACACATCAGAACTTGCCATGTTGCAAACCAATCACACTTTTTAATTCATTTATTTTTATTCATTTGTGTTGAAAATTGCCAATGTTTTTCCAGTATATAGAGCTTCTCCAAACTCTTGAGCTATGCGAAACATCAATCAGAGGATTTATGGATTAAACTATAATGTGAGCAAGGGTAAGTTTACTATCATGTGATTTGTAGAGACAAATTACAGTTTTTCCTTTTGCAGCAAGGGATTAAGCTATTTTACCAGCCTTTATATGCATAATAATCCTTGCACTTATTAGCGTCTTTCACTCAAGAGGAAATCTCAAAGAACTTTACAGGATATAATGTAATGTATACTGTGTATGTACTTTGTAGACAAACACAGCAGCTAATTTACCACAGCAATGTCCCACAAACAGCCATGAAGTAAATGGCCCATTTTTATTTGGAGATTGTTAAAGAGAGAAATTCCTTTCTCTTTTCTTTAAAGGAGATCAACTTTGACAATGCAGGGCTACCCAAGAACCATTGGGATCTTTAATGTTCACCTAAACGGGGAAATTTGCAGCTTGATCACTTATCCAAAAAACTTCATCTCGAATATAGCAATCCAGCGCTTCCCCAACACTGCATTGGAGTGTCAACCTTGGGCTGAGGTGGAGCTAGCTTGAACCCCACCCCATCTTCCTGACTCAGAGGCAAACTAAATGTTTGTGTAACCTGCCAGTCAGCAAATATCTTGAGACCATGGGATTTAATGCTTTAGGAAGAGTGCACTTGAATGATACATTCATAATATCTTCAGTTTAAAAAACCCAGATTGAAATGCACCCACCCTGCTGTAAGATATCAAGCAGGTTGTGGAATTGTGTGCAATGCTCCTTATTAATGAAAACATTCCTGAGCTGCCCTAATAGCCAGGAAGAGCCTGGGTTTTAAATTCCTAGTCACTGCTAAATTTGAGGGGTGCTATAATCAACATGCCTCAATTGGTACCACTCTCACCTCGGAATCAGAAGGTTCATATTAGAGCTTGTAGTCTTCGCTGAAGAGACAAAGTGAAGGCGGGTTGTTAGGTAGGACTCGAGCCAGGTTAGTGCGGTCCCACAAAGGTGCATGAGGGAGGAGAGGCAGTTGACGAGGATGGAGTGGTCGAATGCCACCGGGAGATCCAGGAGGCAGAGGGAGCTCGTCACAAAAGAGAGGACATAGTTTGTGACCTTCAACAAGCACCGTCTCTGTGCTATATGCAGGGCAAAAACCAGACTGGAGGGGCTCGAGCAGGGAGAGGTGTGAGGAAAGCTGGTTAGCGACAAAGTGTTCCACAGCTTTGGCAAGGAAGGGCAAGTTGGAAATTGGCCAGTAATTTGTGAGGTTGGAGGGTCAAGGGTGTTTTATTGTTTTTTCAGGTGATGAGTGGTTTTAAGAGGGAGGAACAGAATCTGAGGAGAGCAACTGGTTGACTGTGTCAGCCAGCAGCGGGGAGAGGGGGAAGTTTGCTGACCAGCAGCTGGGTGGGGAAGGGCTCCAGCAACATTTGGTGGGCTTCTTCTGAGAGATGGTGGTTAGGAGGGAGGGGAGAGTAATCAGGGCAAAGCAGTGTAGGGAGCGGGGAGTGGTAGGGACTGTAGGGGCGTACGGGAGGAGGATGCAGGATGCAAAGAAATCATTACAAATAGGAAATTAGACAATTGACCAGGTCTTTTTTTAGTACTTTTATTCTACATGCATTGCTGGTGTTATCACAGTCTTTCAAACAGTGATATTTCACACCAGTGAAATGGAAAGATCACATTTGTGTGAGATAACACTTAATGATCCATAATGCATCACGTCCTAGAGCAATTTTAACTCAGATCCAAACCCTCCATGGAAAACTATATCAAATGCCAGAACATTGCCACCGCTTTCATACACAAGGACCATTACAACTCATTTGAGCCACGGCACTGCTGCCGTATGGGGCTTTCACAAGTATCGGAAACACAGATCACCAGCCATGTATTTTAATGTTTGTTTACCATATTTCAATCTCAGATACCCGAGTAAGAATTTTCTCTCGGTGAAAATAAATGTCGCATGTTTCAATAGCTTAACAGTCCTGCAGGAGGATTCTAAAAGAATTTCAAACAAAACCTTACCAATGTTCACAAATACGTAAAACATCTCAATAGATGAATATGCACTATTGACTTTCGGACATGCCTTTAGAAATGCATTCATACCTGCAGCACTTGAGGTATGAGCACTGCACATTCATGGGAATGACAACATGAGGTCCACCTTTGAGATATCTGAGGTTATTTTGAACATGGTGCAGATATATACTGCTAGATCTCAAAATGATCAAAGAACAAGTTCTGAATATTATGCCCACAATGGGAACAAAACAGAGGTTTGTAAACAATTCTAGCTGTTTAAAATGTGAAATTCTCAAAACACACACAATAAAACATTGCACGATGGCCATTTTGAATCAGCTCGTGAAAGACGCTTGTGCAAGGCGTTAAAACCTTCAAGTTTTATTTTGTGTGGACATGTGCTCATCAAGGTGTGGAATGACAGTAAAAGGGAATGCAACTTTATAATTTACCATGGGTCTCAGATGGAGGCTCTCCAGATTCTCTTTATATTGCCTACCAGATGAAGGTTTCAATTACTTACCTCTCATCTTTCTGTCCACTTTTGACTGCCCCCACCAAAATTGTGGGTGACTTTCAATATTATGGATTTGCAAATAGGAAGAATTTTATTTTTCATTTGCAGCTATGGGGTAAGAGTGGGACTAGTTGGATAGCTTTCAATGAGCTGGACTGACAAGATGGGCCAAATGGCCTCCTTCTGTACTGTACGATTCTAATCTCTCTACATACTTTTGTTTTGGTCAATTTTCTTCCTTCTCCTGAAAGTTCTTGCTGGGCAAAGTTCCATGGACAAATCCTTCAGTACCATGACCTTGCCCAAGTGAGCTAGAGAATGCAAGTCGTGATGGGTTGTGACCATGGCAGTCATCACAACCGAGGTTGCTCCTGTCCTAACCACAGATATCCACACTCCACAGGAGTAGAAACCCTGTCTGATTTACAACTCCCAAATTTCAAGCCCCAAAAAGAAACCAGCCCATACAGCAGACCAAGAATCAATCTTACAACTCAACTCGCTAGTCTGTAAGACTAGAGGTCCGGGCCGCAACCCCGCATGAAGGGCGCTACATAAATGCAAGTTGTTGTTGTATGATTTCATACGACATCAAGCAGTGCATTTACTTGCTGGACTATCAGTGTAAGCTCAAGAGTCTCCACGTTTCAGTGTTTTGCAAGTAGGATGCCCAATGACAAGTAGGTAGTTCATATTGCTGTAAACATATGTTTGCAATTGTAGCATATTGAAGATAACAAAAGTATTTAATATATGGTATTAAATCTTTACTGCAGTCTTCATGACTGACCACCTCACTTTACTTTAATTGGTTCTTATTACACGTTTAAACATAAAAACTCCTTCAAAATCTACACTTACAGCTATTGCAAAAATCAAATTTGCTTATAAACTATTCCACAAGTGAGAGAAGGGAGCTCGACAACATCAAGTTGAATAGTCTGAGTGATATGTATGCAGACCAAACTCTGCAGCATCATAGTTTAGGATACTTGCCAGAAAATGAAGTTATTTCTCATTTAACTGGGGACTAATCTTAAACTCCCTGGCATGAACTTAATCTTTTCTCCCCCTAAACACTCATTATGAATACAAAAAAACTACCATACAGAAATAATACAGGTTTACCTTTTTAACCACAAATTGACTTCAATGATCTGTCAATCATAAAAGTTGTTCACAATAGATCAAAACTGAGCCAACGGCCTGGGAAATATACTGTGATTCTAACAAACAAGAGCGCAACATAAAAATGAGACTTTCTTTAAACCAATATTTACAAAAGTAAGATTTTAAAATATATATATTTTTTAAATACAAATCTTAGAATCTGAAAATGTTCTTTAAGCTGGCATAAGTGCAGAAATACTATTTGGCTATGTTGAAGCACCTTGCTGATGAACCAGCTAATAGTATTTCCTCTTAATCCTCTTCCACACGATGCACTTAGCAACCCTACATATAAATACTTCTCCAAAATTGGGCATTTTTGGACAACCATAACTTGGCAATCTAAAAATGGAAGAAACAAAAAATTGGAACCAGACCTTGTGTCGAGATTGAATTGTTTTGCCCATGTGCCGCAACCTAAGAGCATAATCACGTTTTAAGACTACAAACTGATTCTCCAATGATCTGACAGGCTTGGCTTTAGTCTGAGCTTTTACAAAGACCAATCAAACATGAATGTAGCATTGTTGGTGGCATTATTTCCAGTGTTAACATTGTGCCACCAACAATCTGACAAGACAATATGATTTGAATTTAAGGGAAGTAGCACACTGGCTAATTTCACATGGCACAGCCGAGCAAGCCATGGCACATGACTGGCCAATCTGAAATCTGGCTGAGTTTTGCGGCAGAAATAAATGGTCGCTGACACTAGCTGGGTTTGAAACTCAAGAGGTGAAGTGGGACCAGCTGGATTTCGCAATTGTGTCCTTAATAAAAATGTATTAGAGCAGGAAATCAGAGTACCACATAGCATTGTGAAATGAAGGGGAGATTCAATCCTGCTGCTCAGGTGAGCTCTCGTTCTCTGCTGTGCTTCCCTTGGGAGGTCAGGGGGAGGGAGGTGGCAAGGGGGTGGGACAAGGTGGCAAGGGGAGGCAGCAGGCATGTTGGGAAGGTGGCAAGGGCGTGGGGGCAAGTTACCCGGTCTCTGCCATCAGGAGTGTGGAGGATTTCAGAGTGAGTTACTACTGAATTATGTGACTTGAGACTCAATACTTACAAACAAAAAATCAGTCTCAGTTCCAGGAAGTGCAATGGCACCCAAAAAATCCTTCAAAAAGGGAAGAATGGAAGCTTTATTTATTCAGCTTGCCCCAATAGTAGAAATAGAAAATCTATCCAGGCCAAAGTACCAAAAGTAATGGTTAGAAAACCTGTAATAACCAAGATTATGATACACGATGGTAGTTGTTTCCTATTAATATGCCCAGCTCAAGTAACACCATTCAATGTCAAAGTTTGTAGGAATTCAGGTTCTCATCACTCAAGCCAGCCTGAATACCACTTGTTTTTCTCGTGAATGGGATATTCACTAGAAAGCAATAACAAGAATTTGAATAGTGAGAGATGCCAGTTAGATCTGAAAAAGGTGGAAGGCAAAGTGGACAGACTGGTGAACAATCTTCAAGCAAACTCACCCAAAGAATATAATGTGATGGCCCTTCAGAACTGAATTTTATGTGTTTTTCTAGTGACACTCCAAATCTACAGTGTTGCAACCGATGTTTAAAGGACAATAAAGGACAAGTTTAAAAGACAAGTCAGTTCTGTATTAATTTTACCCATTAAGCTTCAGGACAGATAACCTAGGGTAAGGGAAATTGGAATGTTTTTTTCATTCCTTTTAAAAAGCCTCCAGTAAAAGACTGGAAATAAGCTTGATTGTGAAAATATTGGCAGGAATTTATTATCCAGGACACATTTCAAACAAGATTTTCTGTAGGTTGCAGGATATCCAAAAATCACCCTTGCCTGGTTACAGAATGGCGTACCAATACTTTGATCTGGTGGCGGTAAAGATAAACTATACTGCACTGTTGAATTGCTGATTGTCTCTCGGATAGAAAGACTAATATTTATCAAAGATTTCTTGGTTAATGAAGTTCAATGTCTGAGCTTCACAATCCCCCCCCAAAAAAATCTCCAATCCAGTGTAAAACAGCTTAAATATGGAACTGGAAGTTTACAACATACTGTAATTAATCCAGTAGACGATCACTGTTTCCGTTCCCCAGATTGGTGAAACCAAGCAGCAGTGAACAATAACTCAGAGGGGGTAAACTAGCTGCCAGACCACCAGCAGGGGAGTGTTAGGGTGTCCACCTGCCGTTTTTTAAACGGTCTGGTCCTTTTTTTACACCCTTACTGGTCACCAGTGTCAGCCTCTGAATCTTTTCTAAACAGTGTCAGCCTCTGAATCTCAGAGCGATAACTTCTCAATTAAACCACAGTAAGGAAAAATCATAACACTCAGCCTTCCATATGGATTGGTCATTAATTGGAGGAAAACTGAACTAAAGAGTTAATACAACACATAGGTTGGGCAGATAGTCAGTTTACCTAAGTTTACGCTGCAATAGTTCCAGTCACATATTTGTGTGGTTCTGGACCTTGAATGATTCTTCCAGCTATAAATAACTCAATGGAGAGAGGCAGCTCTAACACAGGATAAGAATTCAAGGTGGAAGAGTCTGATGGTGCAAATTTGCTGTTTTTCCTAAACCCATTTGAAATGTTCCTCCGCCTTTATTAAATGCTCCAACTCTTGCTTGGCTACAGTTCCACAAGTGCCAGCGGCCCTCCAGTACTTTACCTAAGTGGGCCTTTTTCATATATGAGCCCAGACAGTAAGTGATGAGACTACTTGACTGTGGAGGTAATTGCTGATTTGGGTTTCATCTGATAGTCACACACAATTTCCAGCAGAGGACACTGGATAGTGATCTGGAATGGGAGCTTGGCTGATTTTTCCCTCCCTAGTCTAAAGGTGCTAATTGAGTAGCATCTCAATTTCTGCCTTGGCTGCTATCAGCTAACTTAGCACAGACCAGAAATCGAACCTGCAACCTTCTGTTCTATGGCTTAGTGCTACATGGAGGTGCTTTTACCCACTAGACCATCGGGGAGTTCCAATTCAAAGTTTATATACATATTATACACGCAAGAATACAACCTTCATATATAACATACTTCTGGTGTGGCTCCTAAACAGCTTTATAGTTGTACTGTATGTATGTATATATGAGTGTTTGTATAGACCGCATACAACCTTTGGTCAATCAGAACCATTCAAGCTACTGTAGCACATTCTTACTAGTAGAGCTCATCTGTACGGGTGTAGGTAGACGGTTATGTCTACGTGCAGACCTTCCTGTTCCCTTCCCCCCAGAATTTCTGCTGGTCACTACAGCCTGGGGAGAAGTGTGTGTGCGTGAATGCGCGCGTGTCAAGTGGAGTCAGTCCTTTTTGTGACCCGCCTTTCAGTTTACAGCTGGAAGCCCTCCATCTGAGCTTCATGTGGCTGGAAGATGTATTGCTGTTGATTTAGATCGACTTGTGGGACAATGCTGGTGTCTTCCTCTTCTGTACCAAAATAATGCTCTATGAGATCAAATGCTTTTTGATAAACATCCTGGTTTTCATGGCTCTGCAGGAATTCAATTTTATCCAGACCTGAAAATAGTGTAAAGATGAGCAATATCAAGAATCATATAACCGACTTGTAGGACAATCTTACACGTTCGCCTGCAAAGAGTCACTGATTGAACTTTACAGTAAATCCTGTGAAGTGCTTTGGATGTCCACAAGATGTGAAAGGCACTATACCAAATGTAAGGATTACTATTCTACTACTGATCAGCAAAGCAGCCCTCGAGTCTCTGTTCAAATTGACCGGCCATAGTTAACCCACACAAACACCAAACTTTAAAAAATTTCACATTTGCCCTAACATCAGGTGGTAAATCATTTCTGGGGTCCTGTAGCTCAGTGGTTAGAGCACTCGCTGTGCAAGTGAGAGACCCGAGTTCAATTCCAGACAGGGCGAAACCTTGGGCAAGTTTCCTTACTCCACACAGAGCCTAATAATAATCCCTCCAAAACCAAAAACAATAATAAATTGGTCATTTTCAATCTACAACTGTTTGTGGGACATTGCTGTGCGCAATTGGCTGCCGCGTTCGCCCACAAATATACAGTCAATTCACTTTACAGTGTGTTTTGTGAAGCGCTTTGGGACGTCCTCCCGACGTGAAAAGCGATATATCAAAATGCAAGGATTATTATTATTATTATTTTTCATTGCAATGGAACAGTACTATTGAAGTAATTGCTTTATGATGGCAGAGGAATAACCCTGGATGTTAAAATACATTACTGATGGTAAACTAGGAATGTTTCCTCGTATCTGGTATTAGAACACAAGTTTATTTAATTTTTTTAAAATCCTTATTTTCATTCACAATATGAACATGGATCGTATTCTACTTTAAAAAGTGCATGTTGTATACCTGAGTTTCAAGCGCATTTTGCAACTGTAATATACGCTATATAATATATATTTTGGCAGGGATGTAGATAACCTAACTGCAGATCAATTTAGAGAGCTGCATTGAAGGGTGCTTGTTGGTAGGGAAGCACTTTGTAGCTCAGTGTTTTTCTCTACAATGCTGCAAGTTTCCTTGTTTAGAAAATATATCGAGTAAAATCTTAAAAATTATTATTTTTCACAATCCATTTCTACTCACCACTGAACAATGCAGTGGAATGAAAATCTTAAACCTGTGCCACTTAGTTGTCAATTTTACACCAAACCATTCCTGATGATTCCAGCATTTTAACTTACCATAAGCTTCTTCTATTAGTGCACAGTAAGGATTTATGCCAGTTCCATTTTGTTTTGCTTCCTGCTCACCCAGTCTCAGGATATTCTCCAAACCATTCAGTGATACTTGCACGATCTTTGCATCCATAACAGGAAGCAGGTCACACAATGGTTTAATGCAACCGAGCTCCACTAAGTACCTAAAGAGAATACAATTAAAACTGAACTCAATGTCATCCATAAGATCAACGGTACCCAACTAGAAAAATATTAAGACGTGAAGAACGTTTGATTATCAATAACAAAGATTCTAAAGAAAGCCCTTACTTGATCTGGTCAGAAGTTCCGCCAGATGTTGCATTGGTGATGGCCCATGCGGCTTCTTTCCTCGTCCGGAATTCTGCTGTCTGTAGAATGGATATCAGGAGAGGAAAGATGGTGCCATCTATCACAGCCTGTAAAAAGATGAAAGTAACACATTAAAAGGTCACAAAAAACATAAACTCCCCAACACATGGAAAAGGTTCCAATAACAATAGGCAAGAATACGCAGTTTCAATAATTTTGTCAGTTTAGATTCAATTACTTTACACATGTCATCAGAGAATTCAGACTGAATGCTGGCAATGAGGAGTGTGAAAAGGGAGGAAGTAATGGTGCTTAGATAAAGGGATGTGCCAGAGTGTTGTGGTCTCTTGCTCTTGAATATTTCTATGTTCCTATCAACTTCGCTCTACAGTTGAAACAGCCTTCTTCGTCCATAACTCTTTATCAAACCCAGTTTATGCCACAGTGAAACATGGATATATAAAGTTATACAACTACAATAGAACCCTGTTGTTGTGTGGTGGTTTAGGGAATACTGTGGGGGGAGAGCGAGTCTATTAAATTCTAGCCCACTTTATAGTGGGGCATGCTCACTGCTCAGCACTTTCACTCATCGCACAAGCACAGAAACCACATGCTGGCTGGTTTCCCACAATAACATTTGGCAGACTGCCAGGTCCTCAAGCCATCACCAACATTACTTCAGCATGAATTAACATTAGAGGCAAGCTAACAAGCCAGAACTAGGTCTTTTTTAAAAAATAAAAAACACAGCAAGAAGGGAGACAATGTGATTTGGTTGGCTCTACAGCGATTTGCATTTTTTGGTAAGTAAATGTTAGGGTATACAGCTCAATCTCACTTTAGGCAAACCTGTGTTATAACTGTATATATCGTAAATCTCGAGACAGAAACGACTGGGTTAGCCTGAACTCTACTTCAGCATGCAACAGCATCGCCTGGGCACATATCATTTACACAGAATGTACAGCACGGAAGACGGCCATTTGGTTCCACTAGTCTGTGCCGGAAAAAAAAGACCGTTAGCCCAGATTGTGATTACAAAGTCCCAATCTGGGTCTGCAACCCATAATCTTCTGACTCAGATACTGTTGGGACACAAGTGGCCACGGATTTCCTCTGATGGAGCAACGCATTCAAGACAACAAACACAGGAAGTTGTCACTCTGCTACTCTACTGGCAGAAATCATGCCTCTGGTGCTGCCAATATGGCATGATGACATAACAACAACATGATTACATTTGTACAGAGCCTTTCACGTGGGGAGGACGTCCCAAGGCGCTGACATAAACAAACATGAACACAGATATGGCCAAATAAGATAAGTATCAATGATTCTTATGCAAGAGAACATCCACACTCCCAAATAGTGAGCAAGTGAAGCATAAAATATGAAACATACTTGTATCTGTGCACGGTTCCCTGCTGTAATGTTTGAGATGGTCCAACACGCTTCCTTTTTGATTGATTCTTTTGGGCTGCTCAATAAGTGCAATAAACTCTGCAAAGCAGAGCAGTTTAAAATTACCTGGAAGGAAAAAAGACAGATCTTTAAATAATTTGAAATAGAGGAAGTAAAAAGATCCATCTATTTCAGGAACACTTTACGGCTTTCAATACAGATCTTAGAGCATTTAAATTTGATGAGAAGTGACTTACACTCATGTACTATCTTTGTGCTATTGACCCTAAAGGCACTAAGGCATTGGATGAAAATCAAATAAGAAATTGTATGAAAATGAAATAAGCACGTTTTCTTTATGCCACTGTGTCACCTGAATCACATTCAAATCTGTCTATCATTCTGTCCTCCCACATACCTGAGTCTGTATATCATCTCCCGTTACAATGTTTCCTACTGCACGCAGTGCTGGAGAGACCACCTTATAGTCAGAGTGCCTGACAGGAAAATAGAAATGTTTTGAGAACCACAATTTACACATTTTGAGACCCCAAACTTAAACCTCAGAACATGGCGCAGAGCACAAAGTAGAACCTGTATCTTAATCCTAGATGCAGAGAGTGGCGGAAATGCTATAACTAGTAAGGTCAGTGTGAGGTTTGTAAAACTACCTTACAGTGCTTAAAAAAAGTTTAGCTGCTAAATTCCACTCATAACCTCTGCCTTTGATCTCCCTTTGCCGCCATCTAGCATTCTTATTTCCATTTCCTTTCATTTCTCCCGTTGTACAGAAAGTAGGACAGTACTTCAGCATCTGAACGATTTATAACCATAGAAAAGCATTTGTCAAACAAAGTCCTTGGTTTTAAAACTCAGCTTTGCTTTTATCAAGAAGCAATGGTTTCTAACAATTTTCTGCCTATTTGTTAAATTCTCCCATTGTAATAATGTTCCCATCGTAAATTATAAATGTGTGTATTCCCCAGAAACCCACTTCTTGTAAACGATCTAATTTATTGAAAAAAAACTTACATCAATAGTTCCACTAATCTTCTGCAAACACCAGAATCTATTACTGCTTGGATTTTATCATTGGGTCCATCAGATAAATATGACAAAGCCCAGCAGGCATCAGCCAAAACATCGACATCATTGAGGAACAGAAGCCAGGATACAACACTGAGACAGGGAGATACCTAGAAAGAAAGAGCAAATCAGAATACATTGGTTTGGCTTGATTGTGCAACCTAGCCTCCCCCTCAAAAAAAATTGTCAAGAGCTATCCTGATCAGAAACACTTTTGAAGATAGTATGCACACGCTGGAGAAGAGAATATTGAGGGGCGATACGATTACTAGATAATGTAGACCATGATAAGCTGTTTTATCTTGTACTGAACAGGGGAACAGAGAACATGGCCTGTGAATAAAAGGGGGTCAATTCTGAACAAATCTGCAGAAACACTATTTCAGTGAGCGAGTTGTAAACGTATGGAATATGGTCCCTAGGGTGACGTTGGAAGCAGAAAGCGTTGATTCTTTCAAGAACAAATTAGATAGATTTCTGTTTAGAAATAATCTTAGGATACAATACATAGTTTGGGACATAGCATGTCCATGCGACTGCCAGGATGATGGAAGACAAACTGAATGGACCTTGGTCTTCTTTCACCTAGCAAATTCTTATGTTCTTATTTGAAAAAATGACGATAAACAAAACAATTTCCCCTCAAAATCTATTACAGAAACTATGGTCGCAGGTTGCTAGGATGGGACTCTTCAGCTGATTATCCTGAAAGTCAAAGTTCCCATTTGAAAGGGAAACAGAGGAAAAGAAACAGTGGCTTAATGAATAAAACTGAAACCTTGTTTTCTGTTGCATTTCTTTACTCGCTCCTAACACATGCACTCATGTGCACTGCAGCCTACACATGAAACTTATTACCTTTGAAAAGTCTGGAGGAGGATTTTTGCCTCTACACAGGTTTGACAGTGCCCAGACAGCATTCCTCGTCATTGTTAATCGGTTGGGTTTCGAAAGTAACCTGCACATTAAAGACAAGTAAGCCAGGTTAGAAATAAAAACAAATTCACAAAGTCCAGGATGAGCGTGTCTAAAATTCCCCCAAATTCCACCCAGTCTTCTAAGTGTTAAGACCATTTGTCTGAAAATTTATGACTGTGCAGAATTTTGAAAATTTCTTAAATTGAGTCTTTGGAAGCTATTTTCTGCAGATCCTAAAAAAGACCAGCTTCTAAATTAAGACTGAATTCAAGAATTTTCTACAGTTCTGTTCTGTGCACTTAGAATTTTGAGATAAAAGTGGTCCTATAGGCTTATAGTTTAAGTTTATAAGCTTATCAGTTCATACACTATACATATCTTATACTAAGTTACTATAAGTTTCTTAAGTTTATATACTATAAGAAACTTTGAGCGCTTTGCCTTTAGAAATTAAAAAAAGTTAATTTACAAATAGATAGCAGAAATATTAACTTCAAACTACCATTACTCAGTACAATTATCATAAAGGGTAATTTCTTGAGGCTTATTACGAATGAACAAACTACAAGATTCAGGATTTGTAATCCTCAAACTTTTGCAAATGCTTGGAAGGTGCAATTTAAAATGCATTTCCAAACAATATTTAAAAACTTTTCATGCAACACAGTTCAGTTTGAAGTTTCATTAAAATTGAAAAAACTCAAACCTGACGTCAGTAAGAAATATTTTGCCAATTCTAATGAGTGATGCTGCATCAGGATTGGCAAATCTTATCTTTTAAAATTTTTAAATGACTTACTGTACAAGAGGAGGCAGTATATTACAGTCTAGCACATAGTCCCTACAGACCGTGCTGTCACCTGCAATGTTTCCAAGGGCCCAGATAGCCTGCAATTAAAATATAAAACAAGTTAATTAGAAGCATAATTCTGATTTCTAGAGAGTCTCATGTAATATTTCCAGAGTTGCTCTGGACTACCGCTGGATTCAACTAAAGGAACATGTGCAACAAATGATCTGCGATAAAGAATTATAGAAAGCTAATGAGATAAGAGGATAATGCGACTGCCCTAGTAAAGATGATGAATACAGCCTCCTAACCCAATCATTACACAATATGCTCAATGCACTTGCTCCTTCCCTTTTCGGCACAACTAGCACTGGGTGTGTTCGTTACTACTGTACATTCATCCATCATACTTCCTCCCCCACTGCCCACCTTTAAAGCTTGCTTTAAGGCTTGCCCTTTCAGTTGTGCTTTTGCTCACCACCCCCCTCCCCAAAATTGGGCTTTCAGCCAGCTCTTGTGAAATGCTTTGAGGTTTCTTCTTGACAAGAAGTACACAATATAAATGTAAAATTGTTGTTGTTCCCGACCAATTAGGATTTGGCATTTAGAGCATTGCAATGGAGAGAAAAAAACCTTGGAACCATGCCCAAATTTTGCAAGATTCATAACTGCAACTTTATTGTATTCTATCGCTCCTCAATTATGATCAGGCTTTCCCATGCACACTCTGCCTGAATATAATAAAAGCTAAACGTGCAAAAATATGTGAAAAAATGAAACATTGCAATATTTGCACATTAGTATGTCCTAACCAAACAGTTACTCAGCTGATGACATCACCTCAATACTGGGACATTCCCAAGCATTAGACACTCGACCGACCAAAATAAAGCAAGTTGAAGTTTTCAGGAGGAAGGGGAAAACACGGCAGGGGAGCAGAAATTTTGAAAACTAATAATATTTAAAAATGTTACCTGTTCTTGCACATCTTCAAAATCTGATGTTAACAAATCAATAAAGACGGGCACTGCACCAGCCTTGATGACTTCACGGGTCTGTAGTGAGCTTCCTGATGCTATGTTTGTAAGCACCCATGCTGCTTCAAACTGTGGATAAAAGGGCATACTCATCACGATGTACACAGTAAAACAAGCATAGGTTCATAGGACACCCGCCTTATAAATAAACTAAACTGCCCTTTGTTCTTAACTTGTTTTTCCCACTAATTACCTCTGAATCTATATACGGAAGGGACTTGCTTCTAAGACACACTCCAAATATATTTGGTTACGCCATTGCTGAAAGCTATAATTGATATTACTACTGTACCGTAATCCTATAAATTTATCAAAATAATTCATCAAAATTACATTAGATCATTACTACACTTCAGAAATGCTGTCATTGATATTTTAAGCAGTAAAGGTAGGCAAGGGATAAATCTAAGAATCCAAAGTACATTTTCCCCAGTTAGCCTCACAAGAATTGGGATTGCGAGTTTTTTTAAAAACTTTAAGATTGTCTTACCAACATGGAAATTTATACAATAAAGGATAAACAAAGGATTATGTATAGCTCTTTCTAGCTGTATACAAGATAAGCAATGGACGATTCTCACTCACCTACGAAAAGACCACTGAATTGAGACGTAGAAATGTTTAGACTGGTTGGGAAAACAATGAGCTGCAGGATGTTGTCATGGATACACTGCAATGCGTTACATTTTTAACAGAAGTATTATGACTATATTTGGTAATCCACGCTGACCATGAGAATTACCTGCAATGTACAATTCTCCTTCCTTATCAGGAACTCCACAAATCTCTCCACCACTCCGTGTGTGTTGATAACTTCATCAATAGGAGGATTTGGTTCTGTTCAAAGACAACATACCACCGAACGTTGAGATTCAGTTTTAAATTTAGCCTGGTAAAAAAACTGATGTTTTGAGCATCATATGGAAATGTTATTTTATTCATGCATTTCCTTGAAAAGAGCATTTTCCTTATTAAATCAAAGCAAGAAAGAACTCTCCAAAGAAGCTCGTCCTGTTTCACTTCTATTACCATAACAGTTATCAAATAGATAAGCAAACGCATTCCAATTCCAGTACCATTCATATTGCTCGTAGCAGAATAATGGAGAGGGTATGTCCACATTTAGACATTGCTACTATTATAACATTGAGCACCAGAAGCTTACTTACTTGTGTACGTGTTATGATAGAAACTGTATTCTGAATACTGCAAGATTCATTCAAAATTAAAAGTTATACCAGTAAAATTTAAAATGAATAACAGTAATATGTTCACAAAACTACATTTTCACCTTTGGACAGAAGTTTCCGAAATTTCTGGGTCGCAGCCAGCTGTTGTTCAGGAATATCAGAGAAAATCATCTGCACCATATCGTTGGTGATGACTGTAGTCTGATTAAACACAAGGCAAGAGCACAGAAAATCAGAGAAAAACAGCAAAATAGTCATTATGCTCATCTTAACTGGAGTCATTTCTAAAGTGAGCAATATTTTGCAACATTCAGTCTAATCCTAAACATTTCTGATTGCACTTTAAAACTCTAAATATTGTCACCACACATCACCAAGCAACAATCAGGAATGAGACCTTGGGTGATTTTCACCACGATATCCTATTTTGGATACTCGGAACAGGATCTAATATTCCTACGTCAGGCAAGCGCGGTTAAATGCACAATAAAGCTGCCTAGATTCTGCAGGAATACAATTCTGATACAATTTCAGAAAAGCAGGGTGGCTGATTTGTTACCCACATCAGAGAAACAGATCGATTGATGACAGTTTTGTCTCCCAACATCTGAGCCATTTTTTTAAAGAACCCCTATAGATCATTTGCCAACTTGCTTTGATAGCAAAGCTGAAGAGGGCAGCAACTACTTAGATTACCTCACCCTTAATTTATAACTTTTTGACTTAGTGGTTATTTAGGTTGAACTGGAGAATACATAAGCCACAAAGTCTCTCCTTCTGATGAGAGGGAGCATGCTGCAGGATAGTGGTTGATAATATTTTTCTCACCGAAGCCATATCCATGTTTACTTGCGACTCATGAAACCCACTATCACTCATCACTTCTTCATCCTCTTCATCTGGCTCTGTGTTTGTGACATTCCTGCGTTTGAATAACTGGAGACAGAAAGCACAAGGGCAACAGTATAGCATGATGAGAAGATGGAGATGAGAACAAATGTACAATATGCTTGTCCCAAAATTACTGAAAAATATTTCTGAACGTTATTCACTTTCTTGAACCTGGAATACATACATGCAACATTTATTTGACACATAAATAACTATACAGTTGAAGTATAGAGGGAGAAACTGTATAATTAAACTAAATTATACATTTCCCCACCCCACACTAAGAGTGTACCCCTCTGTAACAGTAAGTCAATCAGATCACAGATTCAAAATCTGATCTGTGTTGAGTTCGCTGATCTCAGTTAAGTCAGCACTTAAAGAGAACTACAATTGATCTGAACACCGTTTGTGAGAAAATACAACAACAACTTGCTTTTCTATAGTGCCCTTTACGCGGGGTAGTGTCCCAGAGGGCTTGACAGTGTTGGAGTCTGACCCTAAGCCAGGGGGAGAGGGAGGTGACTGTAAGCATGATCAAAAATGAAGGTCTAGGCGGCATTTGAAAGTGGGGAGGGAGGGAGCAAGGCAGAGGGATTGAGGGAGGGAGTTCCAGAGCTTTGGGGCGGAGTGGCCAGGCACTGATGGTGGAGCGGTGGGGACAAGGGACAAACAGGAGGCTGGAGCTGGCCGAGCAGAGGCAGCGGGTGGTGGAGTGGTGGGGGGCAGTAAGCAAATTGGATAGGTAGGGAGGTGTGAGGGCATGAAGGGATTTGAAAACGAAATACTGTGATGGACGGCGGCATGCAGATTTGGTAGCTATGATAAAATTATCTTGGTTTCATTTCATATCAACTCCTCACAGCCAGGCACAGAACTACTAACCAGGCAGATAGTAGAATTTCAAGAATTTCCCACGCTGTCTTTTTCACAAATATTCCAGACACCTGATTTTTTTTTATATGACAAATATTGTAAAAGAAAAGTTTGGCAATACCACTAAATTATAGGAGTGGGGTTATGCATCCCATAACAACATTTATATAGTGCCCCTCACCCAGGGTAATGTCCCAGAGTGCTTACCCACATTGCGAGGGTGTTGCACAGATAGTACACGTCTGAAAATGTGTTGCACAGATAGTACACGTCTGAAAGTTTAGAAACGTGATTCCTTTTACCAAATAATTCATTTCAAAAGCATTGTCCATGCTCGCAGTTGATAAAATGTTAACTTCACAGAAACTTGTGTAAAGGAAAAAACAGAGAAACCATTTTCCAATTAAATTGTGCACATTAACATGACACCTCCGGTCTTTACCACCACCACTACATCACAGTCCCTGCAGATAGTTAGTACCTGCTCCTCGCGTTTCTGTTTCCGTAGCTGCAGTCCCTCCTCTTCTCGTCGTCTTCTCATTTCATCAGGGTTTAGAGAGTTGTTTTTATAGCTTTTCAGTCGGAAATTCTCCTTTCCGGTACTCAACATGGTGTCAGACTAAATGCGGAGAGAGAGGATTACATGAAAAATTAACCTTCATCGAGTGACACGTAACATCCCTGCCTCTCAAATGAGTGAGCTTAGTGCAGCAAATATTTTCCAAATATTAGCTGCACCAAAAAGCAAAGCTGCAAAAGAAATCCCAAGGAAATTTTGATTGCACATTTGAACAAATTACTTTTTAAAAATAAGCAGAAATTGTAAAACTTAAAAATCCCTTTAATCATTCAATTTTTTTTACTACATCTGTTACTCCTGAAACCTTTAATCTCCTGTTGATAGAGGTAAAATACTTGTTCAGCATCCATATCATTTTCTCACATCTATTAAATGCTCTTCCTTTACAGCTTAAAGTCCTACTCTTCCTTGACTATCATCTTGCTTCTGATATGTTATCTTTTATGATATCCATCAATTTATTTCCCAATATTGTCTTTATTTTGCCTAAACTCGATTTTCCTTTCCTTCCGTGACCGCACCAGGCTTCGGGACCACATCACTCCTACCCTCGCTCGCCTCCACTGGCTCCCCATCCCCCAGAGGATTGATTTCAAGATCCTCATCCTCACCTACAAGGCCATTCACGGCCTTGCTCCCTCCTACCTCTCCAACCTACTATCCCCCTACCTACCTGCCCGTACCCTCCGTTCCTCTGGCTCCGGTCTGCTCCACGTCCCCCGCCCCAACTGCCCTACTATCGGTGGTCGGGCCTTCAGCCTCTCAGCCCCGAGGCTCTGGAACTCCATCCCCCAGTGCCTTCGCCGCTTCCTCCCTTTCCTCCTTCAAGGCCGGTCTCAAAACCTTTCTCTTTGACCGTGCCTTCAGCTCCCCTCTCGACTCTCTTCCTCCTCCTCGCTCCCTCCCTTCCCTCCCCTCACCCTGACCATTTCCCCCTCCTCTCTCCCTCCCTTCCCTCCCCTCACCCTGACCATTTCCCCCCTGCTCGGGTCATGACCCAACTGTGCAGCGCCTTGGGACGTCCTCCTGACGTGAAAGGCGCTCTATAAATGGAATCTTGTTGTTGTTGTTGTTGTTGATATTTGATCTGGTTTATTTGCATTACCAGCTTTAACTTGATCACATCCATACATGAGAAATTATATTTGCCAAACAAATTACCCTAATTCTCGCTAAGCTCCAATTGTTGCCGCCCAACTTGTTATCAACTTCCAGCCTAATTCTCCTGTCTGTTTACCCTACTCTGCCGATTCTGGTTTATTGCTCCCAACTCCTTCTATTCCACCACTGCAGCTGTGCCCACAGCCACCATGCCCTCATGCTCTTGAACTCTTCTAAAATCACTGCTATGCCACCATCCTCCCTACCTTTAAAGAACATTTCTTTTTTTATGTACTTAAAATATCCCCGTACCCTGTTCAGTGCTCACCACTATATGTGCCGCGTGTTTCGAGACGTTCATTTCGGTGAAAGGCACCGCACACAAGTGCAAGTTGTTGCTGATCTCGGCCAGGGAAGCAATTGGCCTCAGTGCCCCTGGACCTGGTAGAAGAGGGAAATCTTGTAGAATTCCCACTACGGGCAGCTATCAGTAATCTCCTGCTGGAAAGTGCACATGTGGATGTTGGGTGAGAACAGAATATTGTTCGATTGTGATACACTCCCACCCCCTAATAGTCTAATGACCTAATGAATTGCACCATTGAGGCACAAATTAATAGCGGTAACTTGGACAATTTGTCAAAACAGCACACAAATGGGTACTGTGTTAAAAAAACAAAAGCTGCTTCTGATGAATCAATAAGAGAAAATTCACTACCAAGAGTGAAGATACTGATGTCACAAATTGCAGTCTTTGCAATAGAGAAGTTTATATAAGAGAAAAACTGATGTTCCTTCTATATTGTAAATTGCTCAATTTCAGCAAAACATATTTTAGGCTGGTCGGGCTTTAATAGCAACTGTATGAGAAACATTTGATGGAAAAATTTCAGGGGAAGAAATAGGAAGAAGTAGGAATCCACATTTGTCTGTTTCAATTTAGTTTGTTACTGCAGTCCTAAAACAATAGATTAATTTTACCCATGGAGATTGGAGAAATTAGTTGAATACTTGAGGGATGCAAGAAACATTTGTGAAATATAATTTTTGCTGACTCCTGTCCTGCTCCGAATATTGTGGAGAATGACTGAAATCATGCAATCACTGTGGTGCCAAAAAACTGTTCCGTTTTCTTTTCATCTATAAGCCATTTTTTAATCTAAATTTTCTTTTCATCTAAATTGCTATACTGTACAGAAATAGTTTCAGGTGATTTTGGCGACTTCTACTGAACTTGCTATATGAGTTAATTTAAACACATGGGATACATACTTCAATAGTTCAACCCCAAATTCTTAACAGTAGTGGTAGTTATAGCTAGCTTATCTCGTTTCAGTGATGTCTGCATCTCTCCCTGTATAATTGATTCTTACTTTACATTTATATTACAACAACTAAAGACTTTCTTCAAATCTTTATATGCTCATTCAAAAAAAAAATTCCATTTAAAAAGTTAACTGATCTCATCCAAGGAAACATTGGGCTTCAATAATGTGTCAGCCTGGTTCACTGGTAGCACTCTTGCCTCGGAGTCAGAAGGTTGTGGGTTAAAGCCCCACGTCGGGTCTTGGAATCACATAGTCTAAGATGACACTCCAACGCAGTGTGTTGCATTGTTGGAGGTGCCTTCCTTCGATCAGATATTAAACTGAGGTATTGCTGTTATGGAAGTTAAAGATCCCATGGCAAAATGTGAAAAGAGAAGGGAGTTTCTCCAGGTGTTCTGACCAACAATCCCCCAAATAAAATTGGTCACTCACTCCATGGCTGTTTGTGGGACACTGTTGTGTCCAAGCTACATTTCGCCCAAAGGACGCAGTAATTTACAGTATAAACTTTGAATTGCTTTGAGACGTCTTGATGACATAAGCCACTACACCAAATACAAGGATTCTTATTATAGTTGATCTCAGTTCCTAAGAAGGGAAAGAAGGTGGTTCAGAATTCATGATCCTGCTTCAGGTCTGTTACTACCTTTTGCATAGGCAAACAACAACACTACATTTGTATAGCGCCTTTCACGTCAGGAGGACGTCCCAAGGCGCTGGACAGTTTACAGCATTCAAACGTGTGAAAGCCAGGTGGGAATGGGACATCTTTTTGAAGTGTCCTCTGAATCACTCCTTCGTGACGGTTTGATCAGTATTTTAGAACCTAAAGGGATTCATTCATATGTTTCTTCACTAGAGATTCAGAATACACTTTCATGGTATTCTGGTAACAAGTCTGCTCAATAGCGACAGTGGAGGTGCACCTAATCGGGGGCTGCGTTGCCTTTTGCACGAAACTGTAAATTAAGTTTGCTTGTTCTGGTTGATGTTAAAGATTCTAGTCCATGATTTAAAAAGCAAAGGGAGTCTCCCCTGGTCTTCTGGCCTGCAATCCATCAGATAAACTTCAAATTTGTCTGCCACATCTGCCTCCAAATACACAATCACTATACTTGATATCAATGACCCGTGAAGTGCTCTGTGATGTTTCATCATTCTAGGTGCAATGTCAACACAACAATTATTACAATATGACAGAACTCCAAGAGAGTTCACCTTCTTTAGACAGAGGTAAATTGGGTCTCCTTGGAGCTGAGCTGGTCTAAGGTGATGTGCTTGACATCGGTAATTGCATTAACTACACAAATCTACAAGGAAACTGATAAAAGCCCCACAAAAGAACAGCCTTCAGCAGAAAAAATGTGTCTTCAATTAAAAGCGTTTCCCCGCAAGTTTTCTTTGTTGAAAAAAATCCCCCTTTACTGAAAAAAAACGATTTCGCTACAATTATTGATAACTGCTGCTCTATAACCAAGAGATTACCTACAAAACGAAATCCTAATTCAGTTATCTGCACTGACGTACTGCAAGTACTGTAAAGTGTGCACTGCTGACATCATGGGATCCCTGTAGCTCAGTGGTTAGAGCACTCACCTCGCAAGCGAGACACCTGGGTTCAATTCCAGGCAGAGGGCGAAACCTTGGGCAAGTTTCCTTTCTCCACACAGCGCCTAATAATAATCCCTCCAAAAAACAATAACAAATTGGCCACTTCAATCCCACGACTGTGCTGTGGGACGCTGCTGCGCCCAACCGGCTGCCGCTCTTTCGCCCACCCACAAGTAACAAGGCGGCCGGTTCACTTCGCGGTCCTGCGCTGGTGGAGCGCTTCGAGACCCCGAGAAGAGGTGAAAAAGCGCTGCATCAAACGCAAGGATTATTATTATGATTATGATATTATTATCCATTGCCAAGTCCAGCGCTGCTGCTGTTGCTGCTGCTGCTGCTGCTGGTGTGGGGAAGGAGGCGTGTGGAAAAACACGAGCAATTCCTTGTACCACCTTTAACGACGTCTGTCTAACAGGACTGACATCTACCACAAGGAGGGGCGTGAACTGATTTGAACTCCCCCCAACCCCCCAACCACCTGAAATTTAATTCCGACGATAGTGACTGCGGCCACATCTGAAATGTCCTCCATCCTCCCCTCCCCCCCCTCCCCTTCCCCCCCCCTTCCCCCTCCTCCTCCCCCACCACACACAGCCCCGACGAGTACACGTTCGTGTCCGTGTGCGACCCGAGACCGAGAAAATAAACCAATGGTCGCAATGACTACTGACTGGGTGGGGGAGCGGAGGGGAAAGGGGAAACAAAATACCCCGGAAACTTTTTTTTTATATATCTATCTATCTATCTATCTATTAAAAAAAGACAAGACAGAGAGAGAGAGAGAGAGAGAGAGAGGTCGGAAAAGGAGGGCGACGTGACTTCTCTCCTCATGACTTGTAATCCTCCACCGCCACCGCCGCCGCCGCCTTCTTCCCCTCTCCACAACCAACCTCGGTCTGTCTCTTACACGGCCCCTCCCCGCCTGCCTTCCGGGAGGGAGAGAGAGTGGGAGAGGGGAGAGGAGGGAGGGAGAGAGGGAGGGGAGGAGTGGGGAGAGGAGAGAGGGAGGGGAGGAGGGGGGAGAGGAGAGAGGGAGGGGAGGAGGTGGGGAGAGGAGAGAGGGAGAGGGGAGGGGGAGGGAGAGGGGGAGGGGGGAGGGAGAGGGGAGAGGGAGAGGAGGGAGGGAGAGGGAGGGGAGGAGTGGGGAGAGGAGAAGGGGGGAGAGGAGAGAGGAGAGAGGGAGGGGAGGGAGAGGAGAGTGGAGGGAGGACGACGGCGACAATCTAGAAGAATCCAAGCCTCTGGTTTACCAGCCTTCCCCGCACACCAACCTACGTCGTACATCAAATGACAGCGATGATGGTTGTAGGACGACGCCGTGTCGCCGTTTGAACGCCGTCACCCGGTTCCCTCCCGGCTCCAGGCCCCGCTCTCCCTCTCGTAGGCTTTTACCACCTCCCCGAGAGAGAGAGGCCAAGCGGGCGCTTCACCGCCCCCCCCCCCCCCGCCGGCCCCGCCGGTAAACGCGGAGGGTAACTCGCTCGGCGCAGGTTCGGCGAAAGCAGAACACGCCCACTGACTCACCGCGTGAAGTCCTCTCCTCTCCGCTTGAATGTCGATGATATTGTCGGGAGTGTGTGTGTGTGTGTGTTTTTTTTCCTCCCTCTGAACGCCGCTCGCTCGCTGGCTCTCACCGCCCGGCTATCACGGTCGGGATCATCACTTTCCTCCAACACCCCCCCATCACCACACTCCCTACCTCGGACAGCGCATGCTCTCTCGCCTCCCCCCCACCACCACCCCACCGCCGCGGTGTCGACCGGGTAATGGAGTTCTCCGCCACCCCCCCTCTTCCGCCTCGTCACGCGTCCCGCCGCGGCGAGCCGCCTGCATTTCCCAGCGGCCCTCTCTCTCTCTCTCTCTCGCGCGCGCGCGCGCAGCCTCACAACCGCAGGCGGAAGCGATCGAGCTATTTTTTTTAAACAAAATACTCCCTCCACGCGGAGGTGACCTACGCGCATGCGCGTTAACTCATTTTTTTCTCTCTCTCTCCGTCTCCATCTCTTTCTCTCTCTCTCTCTCCAGAGCCGCTGCTGCTGTTTCTGCTGATCCTTCGCGGATGACACAGCGCCTCCTCTGCTCACGTCTTTGACAATGGCAGACAACCCGCGTCTGTCTGTCTGTCTGTCTGTCTGAGGTCTGAGTCAGTGGCAAAAACAGAAGTGGGTGGGGACCACTCAGCAGGTCAGGCAGCTGAGCTTTCGTTCTGCCTCATCAACATGTCTTGAACCCATCGCCCCCCCCCCCCCACCCCTGTACCCCTGTACCCTATTTTATTATAATAATAATAATCCTCGCATTTGATATTGCGCTTTTCACGTCGGGAGGACGTCCCAAAGCGCTTCACAGAACACACACCGTAAAGTGAACCGACTGCGTATTTGTGGGCGAACGCGGAGGCCAATCGCGCACAGCAATGTCCCGCAAACAGTCGTGGATTGAAAATGACCGATTTATTGTTGTTTTGGGTTTTTGGAGGGATTATTATTATTAGGCTGTGTGTGGAGTAAGGAAACTTGCCCAAGGTTTCGCCCTCTGCCTGGAATTGAACTCGGGTCTCTCGCTTGCAAAGCGAGTGCTCTAACCACTGAGCTACAGGACTCCACTCCTTTACTGTCTCCCCTTGCCCTGCCTCCCTTCTCCCCACCCTTAGCCCCGAAAAGCCTCTCCCTCCCTCCCAACCTGCCCCAGGTCTGACCAAGGGAAGAAGGGTCGTGGACCCGACACGTTGACTCATGTTCCTTTCTCCGTAGATGCTGCCTGACCCGCGGAGTGTTTCCTTCCAGCGATTTCTGTTTTTGCTTCAGATTTCCAGCATCTTGCAGTATTTTGCGTTTCCTTTCTTGATTGATCACTTGGAGGAAGTCCAAGACTATAATTCACGCTTCGAGATCTACCAAACTGTAAATTGCTCAAGCCTTGATTTTACAGCCCCAAATATTACCATACACTTTGCACTGAGGGTTTGCTGTCATTTTCCTCTCAATCCTAGCTAATGCAGGGGTGTTACAGGGGTGCTATTTATTCCTTTCAATCATCAATCCATTGTAATAATAATCTTTGCATTTGATATAGTGCTTTTCACGTCTTCTAGATGTCTTAAAAGTACTTCACGGGATACTACTGTAAATTCAATTGACTATTTTTGTGGGTGAAACACGGCAGCCAATTGCTCACAGTAATAATAATAATAATCCTTGCATTTGATATAGCGCTTTTCACGTCGGGAGGACGTCCCAAAGCGCTTCACAGAACACACTGTAAAGTGAATTGACTGTATATTTGTGGGCGAACGCGGCAGCCAATTGCGCACAGCAATGTCCCACAAACAGTCGTGGATTGAAAATGACCAATTTATTATTGGTTTTGGAGGGATTATTATTAGGCTCTGTGTGGAGTAAGGAAACTTGCCCAAGGTTTCGCCCTGACCTGCCTGGAATTGAACTCAGGTCTCTCACTTGCAAAGCGAGTGCTCTAACCACTGAGCTACAGGACTCCATCCTGTGATAGATTGTAGATCATAACAACGATACATGTTTCATTTAACAAATCTCCACAGTTGGGAGCTTGTTTGCAGAGAGCAGGCCAGGCAGTAATCTTCTTTCTACTCATTTTAACCACCTTTGATGATATCCATGTAGAAGAAACATTGTACCCAGTATACAAACAAATTCTACAGAATGATAGATAATTTAATACTAGTTCCTTTTTCACCTTTACAAATACATACAAACAAAATAAATGTCATGACTAAACACTTAAAAAGGCAAATCAGGGATGTTCATTTTTATTTATTTTATGGGGGAAGTGGGGTCATGTAAACAATACAACAAAAAATTTATTCAGAATGGGCTTTTTTCACAGACACCATCTTGTAAACCCCCATTTATTAAAACAAGTTTACACATTTAAACATTTAGCAGTAAATGTGACCATTTACTATGAACATGAAGTAGTTCCATTCATGTAAATGTTTAAACCAACAGCCTAAAAACGACCCCTTCATTCAAGGTGACAACATAAAGCAAAGAAAAATAAACTTTTCATATCGTCATCCTTTATTTCTTCGATCAATACTACACGTGTTGATTATTGCGATTATAAATGGCACTTGGCGTATGGAGCAAAGCGCACATTCTCAGCTCGCGAAGTAGCTAAGTAGACGAAAAATACAACTTGCTTTTGCAAACAGTAGCTCTTCAAAATTTAAGTATACAAAATATAAAATATTTTAAATATTTAAACACTGCATGAAAAATAGAAACCGTATCAAAATAATTTTTTAAATCCTTTTTTCCCCCCTCCCCCCCTTTTAAGACTAGCTAATGAGACTTTAGTCCAATGGTGCCCAGAGGATAAGCATATGCTTTTCCCAGAACTATCCGGTCCCTTAGAAGTTTAAATAAGACATAGTAATTACAAAACAGTATCAAAGCCAAGGAAAGTATGTGGTTCCATTTTTCTGATCGGAGCAGAGAGTAAAGCTGATACAGCACCACGCTGCCTTCTATAAGGATGAGGAGATTCAAGATCCGTAATGGCTTGTGAAATAAAAACTGTTAAAAAACGGAAAAAGAAAACCTGAGTACAATTGTGTCAAAACTCTACCTCCAATGTAAGGTCTCATAATTGAGATATACATATACACAGAACAAGCTTGAACATTAAGCGACAACATTAAGGTAACAACATGATCCAAGGGTTCAAATTGAGTCCTAAACTCAGTGGGAAGCAGAAACCATTGATTTTTTTAAAAACCCAGTCAACTCATGATCTCTGATGCTATTTGTGTAGTAAAATAATGACCAAGGTCCTGTAGTAATTCATTTCTGCCACTAGATGCTACAAACATTTATGCTTCAGAATATACAAAGTCACCCGGCAACAGAAATTGGCAGACAATCAGTAGCACTGATCGCCAAAAGTAAATTTGGACAATGTTGACCATTACAAACAATTTTGTTAAACAAAGAAATAGTTTTTTTTCTTGTGGAAACAAAATTGAAACTGAATCTGTACTCATTGAGAGTGGAAGAATATGAGCTACCGAGATAAATGCTTAGAATCATGTTACAGCAACAAGATTACATTTGTATAGCGTCTTTCACGTCGGGAGGACGTCCCAAGGCGCTGGACAGAGTACAGCATTTCAGACCCGAGATGGGGTTGCGGGGGTAAGGGAGGGGAGGGGAGGGGAAGTGGCCGATGGCATGGTCGAAGAGAAGGGCCTTGAGGTGGGACTTGAAGGAGGCTAAGGAGGGGGCGAGGCGAAGTGACTGGGGGATGGAATTCCAGAGGTTGGGGGCAGAGTGGCTGAAGGCTCTCCCGTCAATGGTGGGGGGGTGGGTTGGGGGACATGGAGCAGGCCAGAGCCGGCTGAGCGGAGGGAACGGGCGGGTTGGTAGGGTTTTAGGAGGTCGCAGAAGTAGGGTGGGGCGAGACCATGGAGGGCTTTGTATGTGAGGTCCAGGATCTTGAACTGGATCCTCTGAAGGATAGGGAGCCAATGGAATGGGGTGAGAGTGGGGAGATGGGGTCACGGAGGTTTGGTGCAGGAGAGTTCTGGATTATCTGCAGCCTGTGGAGGGAGGAGTTGGGAAGGCCGACAAGCAGGGCGTTTGCATAGTTGAGTCTGGAGGTGATGAAGGCATGAACAAGAGTTTCAGCAGCCTGAGGGGTGAGGTAGTGGCGGACTCGGGCGATGTTATGGAGGTGAGGGAAGGCAGAGCGGGTCATGGCTTGGATGTGGGGAAGAAAAGACAGTTGAAGATCGAACAAGACACCCAGGTCCCTGACTGGCGGTGAGTTGTAGTGTGCAACCATGGAGGTTGATGTTGCCAGAGCCTGAGGTGCTGAGGCGCTGGCGTGAGCCAATCAGGAGGGCCTCAGTCTTGTTCACATTCAACTGTAGGAAATTTCCCCTCATCCAGGACTTGATGTCCGACAGGCAGTCTGTCAGGACAGCAGTGGTCCTGGAGTTGAGGGTGGAGGCAGAAAGATAAGAGTTGGGTGTCATCCGCATACATGTGAAAGTTGACCCCATGTCTGCAGATGATGTCACCAAGGGGGAGCACGTAGATATGAAAGAGGAGAGGGCCAAGGACAGCCGTGGGGCACGCCAGATGTGACATTGCAGGGGCTGGAGGAGAAACCGTTAGAAGCAATGAAGTGGAGACGGTGAGAGAGATAGGAATCGATCCAGGCAAGGGCAGATCCGCGAAGATTAAGTAAAGTGGAGAGGCGGTGTATGAGGATAGTGTCGACAGTGTCGAAGGCGGCAGAGAGGTCGAGGAGGCAGAGGGAGCCCTGATCACAGATGTTCTGAATGTCATTAGTGACTTTGACCAGGGCTGTTTCCTGGCTGCGAGCAGCGTGGAAGCCGGATTGGAGGGTTTCAAAGAGGGAGGGCGAGAGAAAAAGGAGCGGAGTTGGGACGTGACGACTTGTTCCAGAACCTTGGAGAGGAATGGGAGGCTAGAGATGGGGCAGTAGCTGGAGAGGAGGGATGGATCCAGGAAAGGGAAAGATGTTAGAACAGTCCTTTTACTACTGGAACACACTGATTAAAAAAAGAGAATTAAGGTAGTATCTTATTGGTGCTAAGTGGTACAGTATGTTTCAATACTGTCCCTTTTAATGCAGTCAAAATACTTAGGAGAAAGAAATGATCAGGAGGCAAAATCATCAAACCGACCAATTGCTTGACCGAGACGTCTTGGATGTTACTGCAGGGTAGATTGGGAAATTAGTGAAATCATTTAAATACAAAGTCCTGTTCACAATAAATAATTTCCTACAAACATACTTCAACAATTTTTACTTACATAAAATCTGGCATGTGAAACATCAGAAGGCACTGCTACATTGTAAGGCCCTACAGCTTTGTAAAGGCATCGATTGTGTCGTACCAACACACCCTGTGGCCAAATTGTTGTTTCGGACCATCTGAAAAAGAAAAGTAATGTTTAGTTTTTTTCTCCCGTTTTGCACCTGTCCTTCTACAACTTTTGCCTGGAATTCTCCTAATCTCTACACTGGATGGTTTGATTTAAATCCCACCAGTGGATATGGGTTCATGTGTATCAAAAATTTAAGGGAAGCAATTGCCATTTTGGAGTTACTAGATAAGGGTCTCTCAACCTACTGCAGCAGAATAAAATGCTACAAGATTAACTATGAATAACAAGTTAAATAATTTGCTTATTTCACCCTGGATGTCCTCCCAAAGTGAAAGGCCTATACAAATGTAATCTTGTTGTTGTTGGTCAGACATTTTTCAGAAGCAAGAAATGTGTTTTCCTGTTGTATCAGTCGTGTCTGAGGAGCTCATGGTGCTCTATTTTGGGGCAAATGTCACCATATTGTCTTCAAACAATAATTGGAGACGCACACAATTGTGCATGAGTAATATCTAACACAATGGAAGATAAGTCAACTAAAAGTAAAAGACAATATACAAATAGCCTCTCACTGCTCGTCAAAGGATTGGATGTTTAAGTTTAATTTCCACAGACTATTTAGTTTAAATACTACACTATTTTTAAATTTCCAAGAGAGAACTAGAGTTCAGCAAAACATCCCATCCATATTAGTTTAATTCAGAATCTTTAATAAGAAAATGGTAGCAGTTAGCTATCTTCTTCTCCCTCCCTCCAATCATCTGTGTGAAGCACTTGGAGAAGTTCTCCTGACATGAAAGGCGCTATATAAGGAGCTGTTGTAGATCTTCAAAAACATATTTAAGCTACAGTGTGACTGAATCAATACTGTACAGAACACTTACATGTGTTGTGGTGTGTTACTGTATGAACCATGTTCCATCTTTTGCCACTTGCCCAGATGAGCAGCTGATTTATGGAGGAGGTCACAGTACCTGGGTGGCAGCAGTTGGCTCATCAACATCACAAAGGCATTTATCCACACCATAATGAGATGCTCACAAGACCACCGCATGTCATAGTACTGCGTGCTCTGTGAGAAACAGAAAATTAGAATCAGTTGTTAAACCTCAAATTTAAGAGCAACTCAACAACAAAAGTCAAGTGTTTAGTCATTACATTTTTCAACCATCTTTTTGGGTCTATTTAAAAACAGACTGTTTATCATAACAGTCCAGGAAACAGATGCCTGGTAAAGTAAGCCATTAGGATAATGGATCAAGTATTAATTCTAATGTTGTATTGTACAAAGTATTAAACAATATTAATTCAACCCAGAATAATGAAATGATTGTACACAGTAGTGTTCTCATTTGCAAACTAGATTCAATTTGGTTTGCAAACATCAAAAGCTGGCAATGTACAAAAAATATGCATTTGAGTAAAATGGTCTGCTTTCGGCAGGCAGGAGCCAGAAGTGTTTTAAACCAGAATTCTCTCAACTGGCTTCATCTGACAGGACTGGAGTTTCGTTAGAATAAAAACTGGAAATCTCAATTTGTGCATCAGATCTTGTTCCAGTACATGCTAGTTCATTCGGTTCAGAAAAAATGTTTCCCACTGTGAACAAAATAGCACCATTAACAAAGACTTAATGAAGCTTGTCCATAAACATAGATAAGATTGTCTGCAGTACTCATACTAAAGTCTTGACACGTTTATGGAGCTTGCAGAAACAAGCCAGATCTATGTCCCAGTTAAGTTTAAGATCATACCGGCAGCATTCAGACTAGATGCCTTAAAAACTATGATACTGGCAGGATACTGCCTGGCACGGACGTCTGATCTGGCCGGCGAGCAGGAGCCAGAAGTGTTTTAAAGCAGAATTCTCCCAACTGGCTTCATCTAACAGGACTGGAATTTTGGTCTAATAAGCATCAAATATTATATAAATATACCAGCATTTCACCTAATCGAAAAATCTTCTGAATACATTTGCTTTTCTCACTGAAATGTTGTTGGTTGAAATAGCTCTATACAGTGCTGAAAGGTCAGTTATGTTGGGGGAAGGTGAAAAGCCCTTGAAATAAACTTACCTTAACAAAACAAAGCGGCAAAAATGCTACATAGTAGGCACTAAACAGTGAATTGAATAGAACTTCTTTTATCCTTTTATTAAAATCTGCTTTCAGACATTCAACTTCATTTCGAATTAGGTCTGGCGAGAGCGGGCAGGTGTGAGAAGGAATGGAAGTGGGATTATTGAACTGTTCTTTGAATGATTCTCTGAGGAGTGTGAAGAAGTCCTTTGGCCTGACCACGGCAGCTTCCAGCTGCTCATTTAAGAGGAAGCCACATTCCGCTGGCAAAGGTTGAGTCCGGTTTTCCTGATGGAAACAACACAGCGGCACATAAACTCCAAATCTGAAAGAGAAATGAGCAAACCAGCATCAATGACTGAACCAACAATTTTACTCAAGTCAAAACCATGAATTATAACTATGGGTACTATGGGGTTGCAGGAATACAAGAATTCAACCAATATATCCAGTCACTTGGTACCATATTGTAACAAAAGCTAGCAATTCACATCCTGGTGACATTGTGATTCCGGTAGCTCAATGGTTAGAGCACTCGCCTCGCAAGCGAGAGACCTGGGTTCGATTCCCAGCAGGGCAAAACCTTAGGCAAGTTTCCTTACTCCACAGGCCTGATAATAACCCCTCAAGAAAAAAACAATCACTCAACCCACGACTGTTTGTGGGACACTGCTGTGCACAATTGACTGCTGCGTTTTGCCCACAAAATGTACAGTCAATTCACTTTACAGTAAATTCTGTGAAGCGCTTTGAGATGTCTCGAAGACATGAAAAGCACTATATCAAATGAAAGGACTTATTACAAAATGAATGTAAATGCCAAAGTTTTGAATTGTATAGATAACTGTAATTTGTAGTATTTGAAAATGTGTGTAATCTGAATGAGCTAGGAACATCCCTGTGCATTCATTTATTCAGTCGCCAGATTCCAACTTTGGGTTGGTATCTAGAGCTCAGATGCCTTTTAATGCTTTTACTAGCAAAAAGGGTTAAAAAAATTATTAAAAGAAGTCTTGAGGTTCAAGGTAAACACTTAATTTCCCATTAATGTACAAGAATCTTTGTATGTAATGGATTTTTAATTAATCAATTAATCAATCTGGCAGGATAAGTTTAAAATTGCAACTGGAGATTTTATACTGTGTTGCACTGAGGATACAGCCCACTCATATACAACAGAATTTTACAGGATCACCCCATCTCATTCGAGGAAAGAAACTCAAGATTGCACTCTTACACTGTACAAATCTTTTAATTGATTTGCTATAGCAAAGAAAACTGTACAAGTTGAGACGGGAAGGAGGCAAGGGAGGGGCCGAGGTAGCAGAACTGCAAGATGGAATTTCAGAAGGTGGGGGCAGAGTGGCTGAAGGATCGCCTGCCAATGGTGGGGTGGGTGAGGCGTGGGACGTGAAGCAGGCTGGAGCCCACTGAGCGAAGGGAGAGGGCAGGTTGACAGAGGTAGAAGGGAGCAAGGCCATGGAGGACTTTGGAAAGTAAATACCAGGATCTTAAACAGTATCTTGTGTGATGTCAAGCATATGGAGGCGGCAGCAGTGATGGGGTCGCGAAGCTTGGTGCGGGAGAGGACATGGACTGCAGAGTTCTGGATGATCTGCAGCCCATGGAGGGAGGAGTTGGGGAGGCTGGCAAGCAGGGAGTTTGCATAATCGAGCCTGGATATTATGAATGCGTGTACAAGGGTCTCAGTGGCCTGCGGTGTGAGATAGTGGCGTAGCCGGGTGATGTTGCAGAGATGGGGGAAGGCAAAGTGAGACATGGTATTGATGTGGGGTAGAAAGGACAGTTGAGGGTTGAATATGACGTCAAGGTTCTGGACTGGCTTAGTGAGGTGGATGGTGATGTTGTCAACTTCTGAGGTGTGTAGGGGCTGACGAAAGCCAATCAGGATGGCCTTGGTCTTGTTGATTTTCAGCTGTAAAAAGTGAGCTCTCATCCAGGACTTGTTGTCTGATAGACATTCTATCAGGGCAACAGCGGTCCCAGAGTCGAGAGTGGAGGCAGAGAGATAGAGTAGGGTGTCATCCGCATACATGTGGAAGTTGACCCCATGTCTGCAGATGATGTCACCAAGAGGGAGCATATAGATGTTGAAGAGGAGGGGACCAAGGACAGAGCCCTGAGGAATGCCGACAAGATGATCCGGGGGCTAAAGGAGAAGCCGTTTGTGGAGATGAAGTGGAGATGTTGTGAGAGTTAGGATCTGAACTATTCACGGACAGAACCATGAAGGTTGATATGAGAGAGGCGGTGGAGGAGGATAAAGTGGACAACAGTATTGAAGGCAGCAGAGAAGTCAAGGAGGACGAGGAGGCAGAGGGAGCCCTGATTGCAGATGGGCAAAATGTTGTTTGTCACTTTGACTAAAGCTGTTTCTGTACTGTGGGCAGCACAGAAACCGATTGGAAGGGTTCATGAAGGGAGTGGCGGGTGAGGAAGAGAAAGGAGCAAAGCAACAAATCGTTCTAGGACTTTGGAAAGGAAAGGGAGGTTGAAGATGGGGTAGTAGTTTGAGAGCAGGGGTGGGTCCAGGTTTTTTTTAAAGAATAGGAGGGATGACGGCTGTTTTTAAAGGGGTGGGAACAGTGCCAGTGGACAGGGAGAGATTTATGATGTCTATGAGTAGGGGGGGCAAGGAGATGGAGCTGGGAGGTAAGGAGAGGAGTAGGGATGAGGTCGAGGGAGCAGGTGATCGGCTTCATGTGGAGGTGGGTGTGGGGGGAGACAGGTTCGAACGTGTGAATACTTACGGGTACCCGAGGAATAGGAGATTTAATACAGAATGATTTCTAAAGAGATTGACCAACGTCCAGCACAGAACCCAACCACACAATGTGAGGAGTACCAGGCGAGCCACTATCAACATAGTGTAGCGGACTACATTTGTTGAACTAGTTTGAGAGGCCTGCAAGAGAGAAGTACATTACATCAATTCAAGTTTTGAATAAGTAGATCAAGTCAACCTGGTGCAACATGATCCTCCTTTGATGGCACCAAAGCAATTCATACAGTTTTATTTTAACAACAACATTTGTATAGGGCCTTTCATGTCAGGAGGACATTCCAAAATGCTGGACAGACAAGAGTTTCGGACCCGAGCTCGGGATCGGAGAGGGTTGAGGGGGGGAGAGAGAGGCAGGGAGATCAAAATCACATTTAAATGTTTCAGGTCCAAACTGGCTTCTTCTGAGTCAGCATTATAAATCAAGTTATTGCAATAACTCACAAGACCATTTTTAGGTGGCAAACATTTCTGTGCATTTGACTTACCTCTGAAATGAGGGTCCACACCAGTCTTCGGGCCAGCATTATAGTAATAAATGCTGCTAAGTGATAATCAATCAGATGGAAGTTCTTCAAAAAGAAAGAAGAATCAATGAAAAGCAAATGCCAAGTTATCATCACTGACCAGAGAATAAACAAAACCTTGCATCAACTGAATGCTGCATTAAAGTGTCATGCATCAACAACAACAACAAATTACACTTGTATAGCGCCCTTCATGTCAAAAAGACGTCCCTTCTTTTCAGTGCATAATATCTTAATTGCCTCTGTCAGTACGTTTTCAGCTATCAATATTTGGACCAGTGCATGACAAACAGAATTGGCCTCCTCTTTCCCACTATCTTATCTTATCTCGAGGCCAAGTCAAATGACAGACCTGATAGAGACTTCATCCTAGTAAAATGGCCAGGAATGTGTAGTCACAGGTACTTCAGCTCTCCATTTAAAATTGTTCTCCACTTGGCATTTAACTTAACATACAAGATATTTGGCAGTAAAACTAAAGACGTTTTTGCTGTTTTAACTCATCGTTTTCAAGCATTTTAAGTGGGGTTTCCTTGTAGCTGAACTGGCTCCAAAATGACATGCTTGGCACTGGAATTTCAGCCCTCTGTGGCAGGTTCGATAGTGTGGTTCCTGAGCCAGGCGGGTCCGCAGTATTCCAGGGGACTGCTGATGACAGCACAGCCAGCTTCGCTCATCGGCAGAACCGAGAAGGGCAGACCAGTCACTGGGGGCAGGGAGTCAACTCACTCAGCTCCTGTTAATCATGCAAGCCAAAGCCCTAACGGGTAGGGTGGTCCTAGCTGGACAAGCAGCGATAAAGCTTGCCGGACAGCAATATCAATTACAAGTTATGTAGCTTTAGCAGGTTAGACTCCAGCAATACCCCAACACACACTCTGGGGTCCTCAAGCCTTGGCTCTTACCAACCTGCAATTAATATTTTCCGGAATTAGGTAAGCAGGATGAGTCCCTCTGGGAGTGTGTGCATTCTATTCCTACAATCTATCTCTGGGATTTCCATGTATAGGTGGGATGCATGAAAATCTCTGCTTGGTCTGGATATTCTTAAACATGGTGATGGGCCTCCGACTGACCACCACCCCCCCAAATTTTTTCAGCATCTACTGGAAATAAGATCATAGTGCTTCATGAAAAAACAATAGCTCATTACAAACAATAGTTGCTAAAGGGGCCCAAACTAGTTATGTGGGTTTACTGGTACTTGACTGTGGTAATGAGCTTTAATGTGTATTGCAGGAATGGAGGATGGAAACTAGAATTCTTCAGGTCACTGAGTTGTTGGTCTGAATCCCAGCCTGTTCTTGTTCTCATGGAGCCCTTAGAATCTGATCCAAAAATGGCTTTGGTAAAAGCCACAACAGGTGCATGGATCAAGGAAGAGACAGTGAGAGATTGGAGATCAGGGAGATGCATCAGATAACACACAGGAAGCCTCATTTTCACTTGGCCTACAAGTGTGGAGTCCTGTAGCTCAGTGGTTAGAGCACTTGCTTTGCAAGCGAGAGACCTGAGTTCAATTCCAGACAGGGCAAAACCTTGGGCAAGTTTCCTTACTCCATACGCCTAATAATAATCCCGCCCAAAAAACAAAACAATAATAAATTGGTCATTTTCAATCTATGACTGTTTGTGGGACATTGCTGTGCACAATTGGCTGCCGCGTTCGCCCACAAATATAGTCAATTCACTTTAGTGTGTTCTGTGAAGCGCTTTGGGACGTCCTCCCGACGTGAAAAGCTCTATATCAAATGCAAGGATTATTATTATTATTAAGCAAGCAGCACTATTAATTTAGCAAAATGTTGAATGGAATTGCACAGGTTATCCCAAAGGCAACTCACAACCTGCAATCTCCCAACATTCAGTGGTGCGCTTCTACTCTCTAGATATTGGGAATATCCTAATACACACACTGTCCTCCCGACATGAAAGGCGCTCTATAAATGAAATCTTGTTGCTGTTGTTGTTCAAAGACTGGAATAACTGCTGAGATATTAAGCTGTGGATAGGGGGCATACAATTGAATCTTGAAACAAACAGCCTGGTATTACAAGCCTCTCGCGAGTGAAACTGCAAAGTGAATTTAGTCCAGAAGATGAATCATGTGTAAAGAGGTTTATGATCAAATAAAGCGAGTGATGTTGGACAGAAATTCTGCTGCATGCTACAAAAGTTAGCGACTATTCTCCCACTGTTTTTAATAGATTTACAATGTTCTTAACCAAGGGTCTCCAATGAGTCGATCGAGATTGACTTCTTCGAGCCACAAGAATGGCCGCCAAACACCAGCAACAGTCCAGGCAAGTGCGCACAAAATCAATACCTTGTTTCCAGTAGCTACTGAGCAGAAGAAAAATTCAATAAAGAAAAATGTATTTGGTTGGTCGACCAAAAAGTTGGCTACCAGTACTCTAAACACTTCTTGTAAAAGTAATGTAGACTCGTCCAAATCAAGTAGATTTAGTATTTCTCTTCTTCCATTAACACACCTTGGATCCTTTCCATCCCGACGACTTCACATTTTTAGGGAGTACTTGTATACAAATTCCAACCTAGCCTATGACTGAAGTTAAATCAATTCTAATATATTTTAATAGCTGTGGTCTTCAAGATAAAAACATGTCTCTACTGCAAGAGAATGGTCTCATGCACACATTGTTATAGTCATCAAAACTAAAAGTGGCTACTCTTTTTGTGGCATCATAATACCAGAAATACTTCATCTTAGTGAAAAGCGATCAGTCAACAGATCATATCATCCACTGAAAGTTTAAGAGTTGCCAACATTTTTGAGATGCAATTCAATTTAACAGCCACCTCACCATGAATTTCCATTCCTATGAATTCATTTTCTTTCATTCATTCTCTGATCTATCATTGCCATTTGAACACATTCTGCATTTCTCACCAGCTTCTCATGCAATGTGCAATTTTTATTGGATATAAGCTTAACTGGCAAATTAGGTACTAAATCAGGCACATATAAAAGATTTGGATTCTGGCAAGCCAAAAAATATTGGTAAATGTGGCATGTAAACACTGTAGTAGTTTTAAACTGCTCAAAAATATATTAGCTTAATAGGGCCAATAACCTTTTTGAAAGCAATCTTTCACTGCAAAGAAGCACAAGAGAAATTGACAATCAATACACAAGGTAAAGGAAATGATCTGGGAATTGGAATGAGCATTGACAGTATCCAGTAACTCAGTGGTTAGAGCACTCGCCTCGCAAGTAAGAGACCGGGGTTCTATTCCCGGCAGGGCGAAATGTTGGGCAAGTTTTCTTCCTCCGCACCCCTCTGTTCACTTAGCAGTAAGTAGAAACTCAGTTGTTAGTTGATTGGCTGATCGCTTTTCCAGGGATAATAATCCCTCCCAAAAAATAAGAATTTGGTCACTCAATCTACGACCGTTTGTGGGACACTGCTGTGTGCAATTGGCTGCCGTGTTTCACCCACAAATATACAGTCAATTCGCTTTACAGTATATTCTGTGAAGGGCTTTGAGACGTCTAGAAGACATGATAAGGCGCTCTATCAAATGCAAGGATTATTATTATTATAGCCCCAGTAAAGCAATTAGCATTAGCATAGGCTTGACAGAGAGAATGGTCGTATTCTGTACAGTAATTTCCATGATTCTATGAGACTTTGCCAGTGTTTTTATTGTAAATTCCTGGGAAATAAATCTAACAGAAATCATTGTTCATTTAAAAGAATGAAAGTATAAACTGATAGTTAAAAGCACCAAGTTTTCATATGAGCTCATGTCTCGTTTGAGGCTTTATTTTCTACTCCTATTACATTCTAAAGAATATAGCCCAAGGAGATTTTAGCAGACAATCTAATACACATAAGCATTTTTTTGTGGCAACAACGGACAAAACAAATACAAAAGAAATAGGACTTTGTGTAAAGTATGGACTAAGGAAAATGAAAAAGATCACATCTGCTATCAGATTAGATTGTATTGAAATCAGCAACCTTGAATTGGGCTCAATTAAAAAGCAGATTTCAACTGAAAAATTGAGCTTCAAATGTCATACTTTGGATGTCATTGAGTTACAATTCTGATATCCAAAGTACAATAATAAATTCCCTAGGACTCTAATTTCTTCAGTTTTCTCTTCCTACCACAACAAAATTTCCTAATTACTATATCTTGATGTATGTAGTCCTTTTCCCAACTCCTTTCAATCATCCTGGTGACTTGATACACTACAACTCCTCATCTGGGTTTTTCCAATTTAAGAAGTGCAACATGACTGATATCTATAAAATAATGCCTCATCACGCACACAGACATTGAAGTACTGCGGATGAATTTTTTTTAAAAATGTGCAAGAGGCTAGCATTAGAGACCTAGGTTTGATTCCCAGCAGGGTGAAATGTTGGGCAAGTTTCCTTATTCCACCTGCCTGTTTAACTAGCAGTATGTAGGAACCCAGTTATTAGTTGATTGGTGGACCAGTTATTAGTTGATTGGCGGATTGAAATAATAATAATAATAAATTGGTCACTTCAATCCACGACTGTTTCTGTGTGCAATTGGTTGCCATGTTTCACCCACAAAATATACAGTTAATTCACTTTACAGTATATTCTGTGAAGTGCTTTGAGATGTCTCAAAGACATGATAAGGCACTATATCAAATGCAAGGATTATTATTATACTATTCATGGATAGGTTTATCCATTTTGCTCTTTCAAAAGAGCACGGTATACCAGTAAAAAGAGGTACTAAAAATAGTAGTTTCAAAGTTGTTTCCCCCCAACACCCTTCATTTGGCTTCCGTTATAAAATATGTTTCTGCATAAGCAGAAGCCACTTTTGCACCCAGAATAAGAAGAAAATGAACCAAAGGACGACTCATTTAGGCTGCTGGCACATACCGAGTCAGCAGCCAGTCAGAGCAGATGTGCAAAGATATGGGAACAGGTTGAATAGTAATGAAGAGGCTATCGGGAGAAAATAAACATTTATACAATTACCAATTGTATAAATCTGTCTCATTATTTGAATTCTGTATCAACAACTATTCAATCTGTCCTACACAAATGCGAATAGGAATCCATTTACTGAGTGGCATATATTTCAACCGGTACATCCCAAACATTTAGATTGTAAACTTGATTGTACTTCAGACTTTTGTCTTCCGAGCCCCAATTTTGTGGAATGCTAAGATACTTCTACAAACACCTCTTGCTCCCTGTCAGCTTATTGAAACAGGAGTTGGCAGGTTTGTGGGAACCTCCGGGTGTTTCCCAGTTGAGTTCAGTATCGGTATGTTTCCCTACATGGCATAATGTATGTAGGTTTAACAGTGGTTACAAATGAAAGCTAAAAAATACTTTCCAAACAAGAGAAGGAAATGAAACCCTACTTGATGTCCGCACAGCTAAATACAATTTTTTTCAAAGCAAATATTGATCATTAAATAAAACAATGCACAAAACCTTACACTAAACATGCGATTAAAATAATTAACTAAATACAGCGAGCTGCTTTCTTTCCACCCTGTTATTTTCTTCTAATTCCTTAGCTTTCTCGTGACATAGAGGAGGCAATAGACCAAGCATTTCTTACCAAACCCTTGCTCATACTAGCTGCTTAGATCTTATGACCAGAGTCAGTAGAAAATTGCAGAAGCATTTGCCAAAATTTGCAGAGAAATTTGGCAATTTTGGGGGGCAACTGTGAGGAGTTGACTGGTGCTATGGTACATTTTACTGCCAACCTACATTTTTAAAAATGTTATTGATAAAAACTAAACATGAGGAAATAACACATATTAGATTGCTGCAATTTTTTTAAAAAACTTAATTTCTTTTTTAACAAAAACTGGGTAGCCCATTTGGTGGTGGGGGGGGAAATGGGGGAAACCAGCACAAGCCTGAAGGGTCTGGAGGTCCACAAACAGAAACTCAGGACCAGTGACCTGACTGCGGGGCTGTACTAGCTCACCACCTCCTGCCTCTCAGGCTCGCATCACACACAGACATAGAGACAGACCCAGGGAGAGACAAAGATACACACACACATTCTCGGAAAGACAGAACACACACATACAGACAGGCGAGAGAGAGACACACACACATTCACACTGAGACACTCACAAACACACAAAGAGAAAGAGACACACAGACACTCCCAAATGCATACAGAGGAGAGCCACACAGAGAAACACAGAGCATCACAACAGCGGGGCTCTGAGTGGAGTGAAGCCCATTTCACGCTTGCGCCGCACCAAGCATGCGCGTCCACAGCCTCCCTCCCAGTGACATCGGGTGAACAGCACGAGAGGCCCGGGATCAGAAACCACATTGTTTAGCGGGTTTAAGGTGGATGGTATAGCTTATACGGATTCCGCAGAAAATTGTGGCCGTGCTTTTCTATCGGCCCAGCTTATGACTCACCCTCGGTTATCCTCACCCTAAGTGGCAACATTTTACCAATTGTTTTGGGAAATACAAAAAAGTAATCCACTTCACTCTGTGAAAATAGTATGTCAGAAAGTGGTTGAAAGCTTAGCAGATCTGCTATTCAAATAAAAATCTACCTACGTGTAAACATCTATAAGTACACATTTATACTGTACTGTCTAAAGTTTTACACACCAGTTAATGTATACAGTCTGATATGTGTATTTGTTAAACAGTATTCAGATTACATGGTTCAAGTTACTTTTGCTTGTGGATTTAGAGATAAGGTTAAACCAATTTCCAATAGGATGTTTCTTATTTGTAGGGCTTCTACATTCTTTAGATCCCAATTCATATACTGGTGAGATACCCCATTCACAACAATGACTTTTACCAAGCAGCTATGTGAGTTGGTAGTTGCTCTAAACCCAGATGACCCTAACATTTTAGTTATATAGTAAATTATTTTGACTTTGTTGTTTATTCATTTCAGTCTCATTTGTATTTTCATCCACAAAATAGTCAATTCACTTTACAGATTATTCTGTGAAGCGCTTTAAGATGTCTCGAAGACAAGATAAGACGTTATATCAAATGCAAGGATTATTATTATTATTACTGTACAAAATACTCCAGAACGTTTCACTGGATACTATTTGGTTTTGTCTAGCAGCTAACTTTTATTTCAAAAACAGCTTTAATGATGATTCATCTATTACAAAGCTCCAATTAGCAAGTACAGATTATGGCCTCTAAATGGGACGGCTTGCGCTTTCATCAGCAGCCATTGAACTCTTGCTGTGCATCACATTAATAGTGCACATGGCCACCAAGTCTATAACAATAATCCTTGCATTTGAGACGTCTCAAAGCACGTCACAGAATATATCGTAAAGTAATTGATTGTATTTTGTGTGTGAAACGCGGCAGCTAATTGCGCATAGCAGTGGCCCACAAACATTCGTGAATTAACTGACCAATTATTTTTGAGGATAACCACCCCCAGAAAGCATTCCACCAATCGACTAACCTATTGGGTTCCCACTTACTGCTTGGTAAACAGAGGAGTAAGGAAATTTGCTTAAGGTTTTGTCCTGCCCCGGAATCGCTCGCTAACTCACTAACCACTAGGCTACGGGACTCCATTATTAAACAATGTCAGAGGAGACATAATTTATCCATAATATAAATGTGTCCCTCCTGAATATTATTTTTAGATATCCCATTCTTTCTGTTTGCAGCGTTGCTACTCTCCCGCCTTGCCTTCTTTCTGCCTACTTCTATTTTCTATGGATTACTTTAAAAATATTTCATCAGAATTTTGGCATTACCAATGCCTCCTTCTTCCCTATTCATTCTTTTTCCTTAGCTGTTATTGATAAACCCATACCAAACAGGGAGTAAAGACAAGAACCATAACAGTGAATAACTAAGGGAATGCAGACAACTTAAATAAACTGGTGGAAAATGCAGACTGTACGGGTGGAAGTTACAAAACAACTCAGATCCTCAGTGCGATAGATATTTTGAATTGAGATAACAGATAATCTGAAGACTTTTAAGAAAAACAAATCACTAGCCCAGATTGACTGTACACGAGGGTTCTTAAGAAAATTACTGGACTGACATATTAAGAAATACATCCATGGCATGGAGAAAGTAGAAAAATGTGTGTTTTCACCTATGATTTTCTACTTGGAATGTGTTTACTCTCAGCTGTTTACTTAAAGGAAACTCTGAAAACAGTAGCAATATTGTGTATATATTATGCAGAACAGAGAACAACGCTTCTCTGGTTTGAAATATTGTTTGACAAACATCATAGCAATAAAGGCTTCAATAGTTAACTAACTTGACTAGAAAATAGAAGCCCCACTTCACTACTGTATGTAATTTGGAAAGCTGCATTATCCTGTGCTATAGGGGAAAATCAAAGCCTGGATTATATTATTCTGTAACGATGCACTAAAAAAGCACTCGTTTTACCAATGCATTTTCACCCAATCACTCATACACTTGAAATCCTCCACCACTAGAAAAGACATGCTCACCAGTGAGGTAGTAGCAGCAGGGTGACTGTATGGAAACCACCACACTGTTTTGTAGATGTTAATGTATTGAACAAACAGAGCCATCAGCAGGTAAACAAAAAACAGGAGCTCAAACACAAGACATCCGTCCACAGGAAGGTCAGGAATGCGGCAGTGGCGGACAGGTTCCGGGGTAATCAGGGCAGTGATGGGAGGGGCAGACAGACCAATGGCACTACCATTCCTAAGGGAAGAAATAAAAACACACAGTAAGACACGAGGGAAGAGTAGGGAAACGTTTTTTGACTAAATGGTTCAAAGCAGCGACAGTGGCTTCTAAAAGAACATCCACAACATACTGTTACCTACCACTTAGAAAACTTTTGTGGGATTTGTCTTGCATTATATTTTGAACAGAGATCAGGGCTCTTCCAGGAATTTCCCAAACAGATGCTGTTTAGTGAAAGTACACATGGACAGAAAGGGGCTCTCCTTGAATCCATCAATTTTAATTTGTTCTTCAGATTGGGTGGAGCACTCACTTCAACAATTTCATTTACTGTCATGGAAAATAAACGTCTCAAAAGTGCTTTACAGAATGAGATTGATTCCTCGCCAGTAACACTGTACAAACAATGTAATGAGTAGCTAATCCATTCCAATTTTGGGGATGGATATGGACAAGGGATAACATATATCAAGGTGTCTGGGAGGAAATAACGATGGGGGTTGAGGTTTCCCCTTCAAGATCTACTGGATTTATGATGCAGATCGATTTTAAATTAATACTCACTCCAAATATGATTATGAATAAATAACTAAATAATATATCAAACGTTATGGAGGCAAACGTGGCAGCCAATCTATTCCAACAACATCCCACAGATAACTGTAGTCAAATTAAATTCAGATGATAAAAGAATCATGAAGTTCAGTTACAGACTGAGAAAGCAGTTCCGAATATGATGGGAGGAGGTAACAGACTAAACTGTAAACTAAAACTCAACAATCCCCACCACCATATGCGCAATTATTTGACGGAATGGAAATTTAATACAAAACTGCTTTCAGAAGGTTAGGATGTGGGCTTTGCACTAATTAAAAGGAAAGGTGTGGAGCATCCTCACATCTACAAAACTAATTACATAAAGTCTTTCGCAAAGGTTATACTAAGCACATGCAGTAAAATTTACATATAGATTACAGTCTGAAACATTCCTAAAACATAAGCTAAAATACGCCTGATTTCTACCTGAGTAAGGCACCACACTTCGTGGGTGCAAATATTGTGAGAGATTAGTTTTCTTGAATGCAATGTGAAAAATATCTAATAGCAAGGAAATGGGTTCACAGCCCAAATGAGCAGTTCTCTTTTCTCACATCTCTAATACAGGGCCAAGTGTTGCATTAAACATTTCTAGATCAAGCACACCAAGGTCAGATACATAGCATAGCCTCCTCCACGCTGCTACAACATTGAGCATTAACTGCAATGCAATATTTTTAGTTTTCCACAAAAGCCACCCTGATGTCCTGAGTGTGACTGTCATTAGTGTTAACTTGTGAACTGTGACGTTGACCGTGCTTTTGATCACCCTGCGTCCACCTCTGCCCAATCGCGACCTCCAGCTCAGGCCTGAAACACTGACTGTTCAGCACCTTGGGACGTCCTGACGACATGAAAGGTGCTACACAAATGTAATTTTGTTGTTGTGACCATTCAAACTCTGGAGCTTCAAACCGGGGGAAAAAAAAGAGACCTTCATTGCATCAGATTGGGTTGTATTCAAATCCAAAGTCAAGTTCAAAGGATAATGCACTAAGCAACTATTTAACCCAATTAAATAGCTTGCGCAATTGGTTGCGATGAATCACCCACAAAATATACGGTCAATTCACTTTAAGTTATATTCTGTGAAGCACTTTGAGATATCTCAAAGACGTGATAAGCCCCCTGAGACGCTACCCTGTGTGGAGGGCGCTACATAAGTAAGTTGTTGTAGTAAGGCGCTATATCAAGTGCAAGGATTGTTATTATTTAGATTTTATAGACAAATTTCTCAACACTCCTATGCAATCAGTCATAGTTCACTGACTGAAATTAAAGTTCAAAGCTGTAGTTAGCTTAGGTTCGAGAGCTTGGTCACACATCGTCTATCGTGATGTTCCAATATGTATTGATTGAACAGTCAACTCAAACCATCTGATAGCTCAAATATCCAAACTAGGTTGCCATCTTTATATCTTAATTGGGTGCCCACTGTGCACTCTAGTTCTATGTATTACAACGTGGAATCAACTTGGGAATAGTAAACAAAGGAATTTCAGCAAAACTAAATGAATGCCAAACATCAGGAAGCAGCCTATTTGCCTTTCAGACCCTTGAGTTGCTGGTACATAATGTAATGTCAACCCCCAGATCCTCTCTTTTCTTGGCTACAACCCTTGTAACAGGACAATTCAATGACAAATGTAGATAGTACTAAATTTAAATATTTGTTCCACGGATTGAATAGGAAGCAAGAATAAATTATGAAGAAAGTGGAATTCTGCAATTAAGATAATACTATCCATGCCTCATTGATTATAGCACGTTAGCTTGAGGCTATTCACTTTAGATGTTCACTCAACTCACCTAGATTTACTGAACCAAAGCAAGATTCAGACAATTGCCATAAGTAATACTCTATGGGACATGGTTTCTGTGCTATTGGAGCTATGTGTTGTGTTGTTTCAAGAACAAATTAGATAGATTTCTGCTGGAAAATAATAACTCAGGATACAGAATATAGTTTTGAACACGACGTGTCTAGCGACTGCCAGGATGGTGGAACGGGAACTAGATGGACCTTAGTCTTCTTTCGCGTTGCAAATTCTTATGTTCTAATGTCTATGGAAGGGATCAGATCTGGATTCAATTGGAAGATATATGGATGAATGACTGAATATTCTGCAGGATTTGCTCAATTATCTTTGGGGAAGAGAGAGTATTAATGCAAAATTCTCTTCAAAGTTCAAAAAGGTATGGTGGTCATGATAGGCTGTACATATTCTATGGAAGGGATGGGCTTGATGGGCTTAAATTCCCTCAAGTATTCCATACTTTATGCATTTACTTGTCCACTGGGATCAGGTCAAGATGACCGAAGACCATTCCTGGCATGTACTGAAGTTATGTACTATAGCTATGTACTGTAGCTAAACAAACAATCTCTCTCACTCTGGGGTCAGACCTCCACCAAGTGTTTCGTAAGTAGCCATAAATATGTGCTTATTGCAATAAGTTTATAAACTTCTTCGGTAAATATCACAGCTTTTTTTAATGGGTATGCAATCAAAATGCAACTTCAACAAATTTACTTCAGCTTTTTAAAAAGAACTCAATGGTTCAGCTCGTTTATTCATTAAGTATCTTCGAACCCGTTTCCCCACTCTCTGTCACCAACCTCATCCTGTCCCTGAAACCCACCACCTGCGCCCTTGACTCCATCCCCACTCCATATCTCCCAGCTCCACCTCCTTGCCCCACTTCTCACAGACATCATCAACCTGTCCCTCTCCTCTGGCTCTGTTCCCATTCCCCTAAAAACTGCCACCATCACTCCCACTTTGAAAAAACCCTCCCTTGATGCGTCGCAGCTATCAAGCTACCGGCCCATCTCCAACCTCACCTTCCTATCCAAGGTCCTTGAAAGAGTTGTCGCCTCCCAGATGTGCTCTTTCCTCTCCACCCATTCATTATTCGAACCCCTTCAGTTGGGTTTCCGTGCTGCCCATAGCACAGAAACCGCCCTGGTCAAGGTCACTAATGACATCTTGACCATCTGTGACCAGGGATCCCTCTGCCTCCTCGTCCTATCGGCCGCAATCGATACGGTCGACCACGCTATCCTCCTCCACCGCTTGTCCTCCCACCTCAACCTTCAAGGCACTGTCCTTGAGTGGTTTAGGTTCTTCCTCTCCCACCGTCTTCATTTTGTTTCCACAAACAGCTTTTCCTCCAGCCCCCGCACTGTCTTGTGCGGTGTCCCTCAGGGCTCTGTCCTCGGTCCCCTCCTCTTTACCCTCTACATGCTCCCCCTTGGTGACATCATCCACAGACATGGGGTTAACTTCCACATGTATGCGGATGACACCCAACTCTACCTTTCCTCCTCTACCCTCAACTCCATGACCACCGATGTCCTGACAGCCTGCCTGTCCGACATCGAGTCCTGGACGAGAGACAACTTTCTTCAGCTCAAAGTGCGCAAAACTGAGGCCCTCCTGATTGGCTCACGTCAGCGCCTCCGCACCTCAGGCGCTGACAGCATCAGCATCCAAGGCTGCACTCTCCACCTCTCAAAGCCGGTCAGGAACCTCGGGGTTCTGTTCGACCCTGAGCTGTCCTTTATTCCTCATATCCGCGCCACAACTGGCACTGCTTTCCATTACCTCCGGAATATCGCCAGACTATGGCACTACCTCACCCCTTACGCTGCTGAAACACTGGTCCACGCCTTTATCACCTCAAGGCTGGACTATGGGAACTCTCTCCTCGCCGGCCTTCCCGGCACCTCCCTCCACAAGCTGCAGGTCATTCAGAACTCTGCAGCTTGTGTACTGTCCCGCTCCAGGCTTCACGACCACATCACTCCCACCCTCGCTCGCCTCCACTGGCTCCCCATCCCCCAGAGGATCAAATTCAAGATCCTCATCCTCACCTACAAGGCCATTCACGGCCTTGCTCCCTCCTACCTCTCCGACCTACTATCCCTCTACGTAACTGCCCGTACCCTCCGTTCCTCTGGCTCCGGTCTGCTCCACATCCCCCGCCCCAACCGCCCTACCATCAGTGGCCGGGCCTTCAGCCTCTCAGCCCCTAGGCTCTGGAACTCCATCCCCCAATGCCTTCGAGATGTTATCAAAGCACTTCACAGAATGTACTGTAAAGTGAATTGAATGTATATTCCGTGGGCAAAACTTAACAATAGAGATTTGCTCATTACTTGTTGCTCTCTCCCAATTTTCTGCTTCCCTTCCACAAGGCAGTAACTTACACAGATGCATTACCAGGGAACATCACAGCAGTGTCAAATCCTGTCCTCACCCTACATCCACAAAATGGTCACTGGATATCAATCAGGAAGGAGCAGGAATCCTGGCGGATCTATTTAAGACATGCCCAAATGTAGTATTCCTATAACTACTCTGCCTGAAATCAGCTTACCTAGCACAGACTGGATCCAAGATCTTTCTTGCCTATGTATCTCAGTATACCAATACACTGTTCAACAGCCAATTGAGTCATTGGAGGATCCAGCATTCTCTCAGTATGGCATGATGCAAATCTCTTTGTACCAGCAAATTAAATAAGTAGGATGTCTTGTATTTTTAAGTATGCAGATTTAAAATGTAAGATTTTTAGAAATCAAGAGTTAAATTAGAAACTGGTTTTCTTTTTAAGTTATCTGGAAAATCGACTCCCAATCTAAACCTTACAGGACCTTACATTTTTAAGTTGATGGTTTTAAGACGAAGGACCGTAGACATTTCAGGACCTGGTGTTTAAAAGTAATGAGTGCACTGAGTTGTAAACTTGATTCTTTCATTCAGAAATATCCAGTGTGAGAATATCTACCTGTTTCTCAGCCCGGTCCCATTCCCACAGCTCCCACCCACAATGGTCTGTATGGAAGGTAATGCTGAACGGCTCAACTGCTGCCGACTTGGGCCCCGCCGTCCACCGGGCATGGCGTGGGCCAATTCCGTTTCAAGCACCAGCACAGTCTGCCCCAAGTCAACACCACTGGCAGGTCCTGTACTCTGCAACAAAATGAACAATGCAGTTAAGAGACTGGAAGGGAACCCTAACCCCACCGAGTTTATTAATAGGCAATCTTTTGCTGAAGAATTTCATCCACCAGTTGTAATCATTCAAAATTCAGCAGACAAGCATGGCATGGAGGAATGTCACTGAAAATTTGTTTATGCCCCCAAACTACCCTCCTCTCCCCCTCCAAGTTCACCACTCTTCAGAATTAATCTGCTTCCTGTTGAACTGTTAACAACAACAACAAAATTACATTCGTATAGCGCCTTTCAAGTCGGGAAGAGGTAGGTTTACAGGTGAGATTTAAAGATAAAAGGGGAGTGATGCAGGGAATCCCGGGGATAAAGGGCCTCATGGCGGAAGCCATCTTGCTATTATTTATTTTATGCTCCCCAAGCTTTTTTTAAAAAAAAACAAAGCTGGTTCCAAAAATTATTTTTTGTAGAAAACATCACAATGTCTCCTGTATCTTGCACATCTGGATTATTTCATATAAACAGTTTCTGACTCTCAATTTACAATAAAAATATTTTAAAAATCCTATATGGCTGGCCTTCGGACCAGCCAATCATTCTCATGTCATTTCACAGATCAGGAAAGGAGGGAATACTAAAATAGAATTCTTCATTTAGCTGCACTGAGCACATTCAACAAGGTCCATTTTCCAACATGTTTCAGTCTTAGAAATACTGGGAACATTTCACAAATCCCTCAATAATTGCTCATAAATTTTAAAAGAATAAAGCGTTTTAACCCTTAATTGCTAAGGTGTAGCAGAAAAACAAGCCATACAAGCATGCATTCCCTGGCAGTGATTCATGCTGATTTGGTGCCATGGCTCCCACAGAAAGTCAAAGCACTTCAGCGCCATATGAGCGTTACACTACAGCATTACACACCTCACCCAAGCAGCTACGCTTTTTATGCTTTTTTAAAAAAAAACAGATGTATAATAATGCAATCTTGTTATGCTAGAATTTTGTAAGGAACACTTGAGCATTACAGTATATAGCCTTAGTACGAATTATTGATTGAGCTTTGGAGAGACTACAGTAACCAAGAAATCTAAAATTGCGTGGATGGAGAGAAAATAACTTCACATTTTTCTCCCAGTATTGTTGACCACTAATAGTTGGTGTGGCTACACAAGCATGAGCTATGAGCTAATATTTACTGCACCATCTCCTCTTAATCCATTGCAATCCTTCACTTCATATGTTTGTGGGATATTGCTGTGTGCAAATGGGTTGCCGTGTTTGCCTACAGTCGTTACATTTTACAGAATATATGTGAAATGCTTTGCAATGTCCTCCTGATGTGAAAGATACTATACAAAATGTAATAAGTATTAATATTACATTAGATTATAATAATCTTTGGATTTCATATTGCACCCTATCACGTCTTTGAGTCATCTCAAACCGCTTTACAGAATATGCTGTAAAGTGAATTGATCGTATATTTTGTGGGCGAAACGCGGCAATCAATTGTATACAGCAGTGTCCCACAAATAGTTGTGGATTGAGTGACCAATCCATTATTATTTTTTATTATTTTTTCTGAAGGGATTATTACCCCTGGAAAAGCAATCGACTAACAAGCGGGTTCCTACTTACTGCTGGTTAAACAGAGGCGTGTGGAGTAAGGAAACTTGCCCAATGTTTTGCCCTGCTGCAGTATGTAGCGAATCTTTCCCATAATGTCTAATTTTGCGAGACTTAACAGGTGGAGGACCACAATCATTCCAGTTTATTTTTGGGATATACATTTCTCTGGAATTTTCCCTTTTTAAAAATATATACAACAAAATATGATGCTGTAGAACATCGTAACTTTAGAATATAGTGACTTGCGCTGAGGGTACTGCTCCACATCTGAACATCCAAAAAGGGTCAAAATTAGACCCCAGTTGATGAATAGTGCTGATCAATACTCGTTAATTAAGACTGGATATCAGGGCGAGTTATCTCAGTCAGGAGAGAGATGAGAGATGTAAAGGACATGATTGCAAAAATTGTAATGAGCTCTAAATTTTTAAAGACTCAAAGAAAGGAGGTAACTTCTCTTTTTTTGGATGGAGGGGGGGGGGGGGCAGGACAGACATGCTTCACTTCCCCTGCCTCACCCGCCCCACCATCAGGGGTTGGGCCTTCAGCCTCTCAGCCCTACCCTCTGGAACTCCATCCCTCATCCCTTCGCTCACCTCCTTCAAGGCCCGTTTCAAGACCCTCTCTTCGACCGTGCATTCAGTCACCCTCTTACCCCTACCCTCTCCGACCCCCTGATCCCAACCACCAGTTCAGGTGCGGATCCCTGACTGTCCAGTAACTTGGGACCTCCTCTTGATGTGAAAGGCTCTATACAAATGTCATTTGTTGTTGTTGCTTCAGATCTTTAAACAATGAGGCATAAACAACGTAGATCCAAATGTGATTCTTAAATTAGACTGTTTGTAAAAAAGAACAAAATCAGCAAATCTAGATCAAAACAAGAGATTACCCCCACTCCATCAAATTACATGTATAATTAAATACCATGTTGATTAATGGAAAAAATGAACTGGATAAATATAAGTTTAAGAATGACATTGAAGATAAGTGTAATGATAACAATAACTTGCACGTATATAGTGCCCCAGGCAGGGTAGCATCTTAGAGCTCTTAACAGTGGTGGAGTGGACCTCGAGCCGGGGCGGGGGGGAATGGTGGCTGTAAGCACAGTTGAAGAGGAAGGTTTTCAGGTAGGACTTGAAAAAGGGGGCAAGGTGGATGGATTGAGGAAGAGTGTTCGAGAGTTTTGGGGTGTAGTGGCTGAATGTGCGACCTCCGATGGTGGGGCCGAGTACGCGAGGGACGAGCAGGAAGCTGGTGCCAGTGGAGTGGAGGCAACGCGTGGTGGATTGGGGAGTGAGGAGGTCAGAGAGGTAGGGAGGTGCCAGAGAGTGCAGGGAATTGAACATGGGTGTGGGGACCTTGAAGTTGATCCATTCAATGATGGGGAGCCAGTGGAGTCTGGCCAGAACTGGTGAGATGTTTGTATGGAGTTTGATATGGGTAAGTTTGCGGGTGCCAGAGTTCTGAATGAGCTGGATCTTTTGAATAGCGGAGCTGGGGAAACTGGCGAGGAGTGCATTTGAGCAATCCAAACGAAAGGTGACAAACGCACGCACGAGGGCTTTGGCTACATTTGGCGTAAGGTACGGTCGGAGTCGGGCAATGTGGCAGAGGTGGAAGAAGGCGGTCCGGGTCAGGGACCGGATGTGGGGGAGGAAGGACAGCTGGAGGTTGAACCGGACGCCTAGACTGCTCACTAGTTTGGTGAATCTGAGGGAGAGCCCAGGGAGGTTGAGGAGTTTAGATCGCAGGAGTAAAGACGTTGACAGGAGCCGGGGAGTATGGTAGATTAAGATGATCAAATACTCTTTAGAAAAAATGGTTGGTGCACAGCTAGGTTCCTGGATAAAAGACTAGTTGGAACAGCCGGCAGTAGTTGTAAGGCTGGAATGATTCTCTTATAACATTTTCATTTGAGATGTCTCAAAGTGCTTCACAGGATATACGATAAAGTATATTTTGTGGGTGAAACATGGCAGCCAAATTGCACAGAGCAATGTCCTACGAACCGCCATAAAGTGACCAATTTTATTTGGGGAATTTGCTGGGTTTCCTGGATACTCCCTTCTCTTTTTGAATAGTGCCAATAGATTGTTACCGTCCACCTGAACAGGCAGATGGGACCTCATCCAAAGGCTTTGCGTATTATTTTGTTGTAGCACACTTCAATGTAAAACGAAGAGGGCACTGCTACCTCCAGGGAGTTGCAAATTATGTAAACAAGTAGTTTTCAAAGCTTCCCAGCAGATCAATATAAATCCAGCTGCCACCAGTCCACCCGGCTATATTTCTGGCTACGGGTAGGCCGAGCTCTTAATCTAGCCATTAACAACAAAACTATATTTGTATAACGTCTTTCACGTCGGGAGGATGTCTCAAGGCGCTGGAAGCCAACAATGCTTTTGTAGCAAGTGGCTCTCTGTACAAGGTAAGACAATAACCGGTAAAGTGCTTTGAGACGTGAAAAGCGCTACATCAAATGCAAGGATTATTATTATTATTATTATTATAAAGCAGAGGACCCACTGCTGATTCAGGTGAGTCTATAAACCAGCAGTGCTTCATTGCTGAAAAGTGGGTGGGGGGGGGGGTTGGCAGCGCTGTGTGTACTAGGGGAAGTATAAAAAGCACAGTTAAGCCAAAACATTTTGATGATGGTGAGCTGGAAAAGGTTTGAGTTTAACTTAAATATTACTTGCTGTAATGTTCCAAGCTCATCTTTTCCAGCTCAACCAACATAAATCTCTAACCACCTATTCCCTCAGTATAGTTACTGCATAGTGCAAAATCTTCTTTCCCAACTTTTAAAAAGGCAAGATCTACAATCATACTTGTGGATGGTTGCCACGCTTTAGGTGTACATGGCACAAATGTGTCACATAACCACATCACTGAATCCACTAAACATTGAAAAAAACAGGATACTTGAGCGTGATCTTGCTTCTTGCCGCTGATATCGGATATCTTACAGAGCTTAACTCCACTCTTGTTTCGTACAAAGGTTAAGAAATAGATCCAAGAACATGTCCTGTGACAGTACCATTTAGGAAATGCACACATACTTATAATGGCATCTGTCAGCGGAAGTTAATGCGTAAAAAGGAACATTTTGCGATGCTTGGAGGCCTTTTGAGAACTTACATTCTAACCGAGGTCTCTGGACAACAACTTGCTGAATGCTGATGAATTTCCCCTTCATGACTCAAGAGACCCTGAAGCTAAACGACTTTTCCATAAAACATACCATCAATTCACTTTACAGTGTATTCTGTGAAGCACTTTGAGATGTCTCAACGGCGTGATAAGGCTTTGAATCAAATGCAAGGATTATTATAAAAGGAAAAATATTGCAGATGCCGGAAATCTGAAATAAAAACAGA